GAAAGAACACCAATGTTAAATTATAAATTACAATAGTTTTTTCATTCTGCTTTTAAGAAAATTACAAGCAGGACATTCATGAGAAAACATGCAAATGTTAGTGAACCATGCATGTTTATTCATACATGCGCGCAAGAAAGAAGTTGTAAACGGAAATAAAGGGTGACCGTACATTTGAACCCATGTACATTTGAACCATGCGTATATCCACGGGTTCAATCTACATGCGGGTGCTAAAACCCATGGGTTAGGGTTAGTATGGGTTTAACTATCCGTGAAACAAAAAAAATTCCATAGGTGCAATAGCATACAGGTGCAATTGTCATGGGTTCAAATGTACGTGGGTTCAAATGTAATGGAACCGAAATAAAGAGATGACATTTGAGATAACATTTTAATAATATTTTATAATAATGAAAGCATATAACACCAGTATATCATATTGATTCGAAATGTTGTCACACAATTACATGTGTTTCCATGCATAGTTTGGCATATTAAAACATGAACTTAACCAATAGACTTAGTAAATGCTAGGACATTATCTGGGGGAAGACATATTCATATTTTCACTGCAAGCTTTCAAGATTACACACTGAAAACTATTGCTACAGAAAGTAATCAGGAAGTTCATTATAGAATATATATAACAGCATATGCACCCACCCACATAAATAACAAGTTTATCTTATAACAAGAACAAAATAACACAGTATGGAGTAGTAGCAGAGAAATTGTTATTTTAGGATTGCAGACAATGCATTAGTACAAAGTGGTTATGATTCATGAATGAAAATCACATCTTATTGATTGACTTCAAAACAAACAAGGACTAGACAAAGTATATAATATCGTGTACACAAATGCTACAGTCCCCATAAATAGTGTTTAATAATTGGCAAAAAATACTGAAAGCAAATTAAAACATAATTCTGTATCTTGGAAAAATGTAATCTCAAACAAATACAATTTAGTATGTTGCACGTTATTGGAAGAAAAAAATAAATATTTGGAATTTGTGTACACAAGTTGAAGTCAGTGACATTAATTTGAACAGTAGCACAAATAGAGCTATTAGGTTATTAAACGACGCTTCCGTAGTATGTGCACTGAGATGGCGTAAAACCTGATAACCCTAACCTAGTACACATACTATGTTCAGGCTGTGTGCCATCTTGGTGCACTTGCTGGGACGGGATGCACACACGGGAGCACCTATTAAACATATAAAGGTATTCAATCTCAGCAATTGTGTGATCTCAGTGATTTTAGGTAGGGTTAGGAACTGAATTTTATGAGAATGTCTTCAAGACACGAAAATGGAAATCACAAAAGTGAGTGAGATTGCATACTAGTAGCAAGTCGAAATGATAAAATATTTGTGGAAGTAAAGGATCAAACCAGGAGAATGCACTCTTTCAAATGTTTGTGTAAATAAAATGATAACTATAGGGCTGACTATGTGCTATTAGGTGAAATCTATGAAAAAGTTGATCTGTCATAAAAATGTTTAGATTAGCTGGATGGATAACCTTGGATGCAACAATTGGAATACAGTTTGCATAAAAAACAGTAGCAATAGATAAACTATAAAACAAGATTAACAATGAGAGTGATTTTTATGATTGATCCAAGTTACATTAACAAAAATAGGAAAATTATTTTAATAGAAGCAATTATGGCAAATAAACAACTCTTACTAACATATGGATTAGCAAACATACACTAAAGTTTAATGTTTTATATGCCCTTTACAAATAACAAGTTTAGGTCTGATTTCTCATTTAACATTTGCCTTATAAGCTAAAATGCTGAATAAATATTAAATATTACTAGATTAGAATGGTTCCTTTATGAAATTTGAACATAATCATATTCAAAGAACTAGTGAAATACTACACGAAGCTATTGTGTTAGAAAGTATCTTCAATACATTTTTGTACCAGGGTAAAGTTACTATAACAAAATAGGAACCTCTATCAGCTGAACGATTATTATCTCTTTTTAATGAATTGTCCGAAGCAATGATCAGCAATGATACCAAATCTGAACTGAAACGTAAGTTTCAGCACTTCAAATTCATAAACATTCTCAAGTTTCAGAATATTTGCAGATTGAACCAATACACAGTGGAGTATGTGAGGCGGTCATCAACTTCAAAACACAGTTTTGAAGTACAGAGATAGTTTTGGAGATAAAACTATATTAAGTCCCATGTCACAATTCATTTGTGGGCATGTAGTGGACATATGGATCGTTTTGTTATTATGTTGTTGTTCTTTGACACATATTGAAAAACCGCTTTTCTTGTTGATTACTGGACGAATTGCTTTGAAATTTTCAATGGTTTAAGATTGATTTGCCTGAAGGCTATTACTTTCATATATTTCCAATATTTCTGAGAGCTGCATGGAATTCATTTCTTTTGTGCTATGACCTCATCAAAAATTGCCACCATGTGGCGGTTCATCGTGCGAGCGAGTCACGAGGTCAGCGAACATTGGTGCTTCTAGTGTTTAGCGAACCGTCAAAGGTAAGCTGGACTACTGCTTCGCTCAGGCTGCGTGTCCATATACTTGAGCATCGCTCTCTTGTTGAAAGTGCAAACTATAAAGTTCTTGATCCCCTTTCTGGCACAAATAGACTCACTTCAGTCATTGCAGCAATATCCCTAAAGACTAGATAACCTTAATCTTCATATCTGAAATTATATCAAAATACTTGACAGAGTTTCAAGTAGTCATTATAGACTTAATGTCATTTACGATAAAATTTTATAATGGAATTGGAAGTTCGGGCTTTTACTACAGTTAATTAACATGATATGTGTCTCGCTCGGATTAACGATAGGATCTATCTAGGTACATATCTATCCCAGGAGAGAGATAATGGACCAGATGGTGGAGGAAGCTGTAACCGACCAGCGGTTATGTGAACCACCCAACTGCGACGAGGAGTCCAGTAATCCTCTCGCACATAACCATGGGGTGACGAGCGTATTCCTAACGATCTCCACATTTAAACCTGCGAACCTACACAGACTGACATAGTGTAAGTAATAAGAGGTGCGATGCCAAGCTTATTCCGCTTACAGGCTTAGCACGATGAGCCACACCACTGCTAATTTGAAGTTAGACAATTCAGCAATTAAATATACCGGTACCGGTAGAATGTATATTAACATTTTGCTTAGGTCTGCGGAGTTCACTCAAACAGTCAAATGTCTTTAGCAGTTTCACTTTTTAGTTTATCGCTTGCTCCACACAATGCTGCAATGTTACTGGTAGGCTACCAGTCCCAATTTGACATACCGTGTTCGTGCCTACATCTTGCCACACAATAATTCTACCGCGAAGGCATACCGGTACCGGTAGTCCGATGATACGGTAGTCTACCGTTACCATAGTAATTAAAAGTCCAAGTCTGGTAACTCTGGCATATGCAGATACATACAGGCTACATCATGCTGAACTTAAGAACCTTAAAATGTTCGTACGGTACCGGTATACGGTACGGTAACACTGACACCATGCCCTTCACTTTCTCAAACGTCGCCATCCCTAATCTGCCAACACAATTCGACCGCATTTTGCCATCCCTAATCTGCCACCACGCTTCGACCGCATTTTGCCATCCCTAATCTGCCACCACGCTTCGACCGCATTTTGCCATCCCTAATCTGCCACCATTCGACCGCATTTTGCCATCCCCAATCTGCCACGCTTCGACCGCATTTCGCCATCCCCAATATGACTTTTCGACCCTATTTTGCCATCCCTAATCTGCCACCTTTCGACCGTATTTTGCCATCCCTATTCTGCCATCCCCAATATGACTTTTATGCTACCACCACTATAGAGTGACGGAGCCTCAAACTGAACTGGAATTGGATGTTTAGTTTACCCTAACATCGACTTCTTTGTTTACTTCCGTAACATTGGCTAATCAGCAAGAGCTCAGACAGCAGCTCAGAAATATTTTATCATTCAATCAAAAATGAGACTTTTTTGGCCTACCGCATGGAAAATCTCACCCACTGAAACACTTTTTGAAATAAATAAATGTGATAAACTTCTATCAAAAAATACAATCTTTTAGTCTCTTTTACAGAAAAACACGGTGGGTACATTTCGTGCCCAACAAGCACAATTTTCGTTAAAATTCCTAGCAAGATTCGGATTTCGCCACTACGGGGGTATCATTGAGCCATGACTACAGTTCTGTAGTTAGACTTCTAGCCGTCAATTTTGTTTCAATCCGTTTGGGTTTACTCTAGCGTGAGAATATATGCACCATTTCACTGTTGAATTTATCTGTTTGTGTTTCCTCACATTTTAAATTGACTAATTGCTGAATTGACGTAGAATTTGGTTTGTAACATCTAGCTTACTGAAAAAAATATCTTACCGAAAAAAACTCACTGAAAACTGGAAAACAGTGCAAACAGCATAAAATTGTCAGAAAGTTGAAATATTATGAATGTGAAAAAATAGATGTTCAGGAGTTTGATCTCTGACTTCTGTTATTTTGGTAAGCTTTGATTACCATGCATAGGTTCAAATCCTTTGTAGAGATAATTATGTGCGAGAGGATTGCTGGACTCCTCGCCGGCACCCGCAGCCTGTCGGGTGGTTCACGTAACTGAGGGCGGTTACCGCTTTCTCCACCATGAACTCCATGCATGCCATACCCAACATCTGAACATAACAGGACTGATAAGTGATAACAGGTTGAAAGGCCGTTGTTCAGCTTATGATTAAAATGCCTTTTCGGCTATCTTCTCCCCCGGGATAAATATGTAAATCCTATCCTATTATTCTGCTTGGGGCTTAGTGTGACATTGTGCATGCGGGGAGAAATAGGTTAACTGAATCAAAAGTTCAAGCATCATTAACAACTCAGATCAATATGTAAGATACGTTATTGGTCTTGGTCATTTGTAATTTCAATGCTGAATGTTCATTTTCAAATTGTGATGATCTATTTTCTGTCAAAGTGAATATGACTAGTTTACTTTTTACTACAGAGTATTTCAGTTTATAAATTGTAACATATGGCTAAGATAAAAATACCTCGAAGCTTTAAACTTCTCGAGGAGCTAGAAGATGGAGAAAAAGGTGGTGATGGAACACTAAGTTGGGGTTTACAAAAGGAAGATGACATGTTCATGACAGAATGGACTGGTACAATTATGGGACCTCATGGGTCGCCATATGAAGGTCGATTTTATACAGTGCACATCCATTGTGGGCCAAACTACCCATATGAACCACCTAAAGTCAAATTTGTATCGAAGCTTAATGCACCATGGGTCGATTCGAACGGACATATTTGTGAAAGTTCATTTGATTGTTTATCGAGATGGCAACCTGCTTATACTATAAAATCTGTATTGTCAGAGCTGAAGGTTAAGATGTCACTGAAAGAGTGTAGCCGTCTTAAACAACCACCAGAAGGATTGGAATTCTAAATTATCTACATATACAATGTAAGAAAAAAACTTGTCTAACTGAAAATATGCTGTTTTTAAAGTTCAATGTAATAGAATACACTGGTGAAAATACCTTAGTTGATGCCACATTAAAAAATTAAGAAGTGGTATGTATGAAATAATTTAATCATGTGGATGATACATTACTGCATTAGTAGAAGTGTTTTCGTGGACTTTGTATAATGTTCTTAAATAGAAATTATATCAGCGGTCTTCAATCTATTCCATATGAGCACATTATTAAACTTTCAGTGGCACAGTGTGTAAATAAAAATATCGAATTTGAATAGCTGAAAAGTCACTTTGTCCAATTTATTTCAGAATGCATTTTTTGGTAGTTTTGATCGTGCAAATGGCAAAATCGTGTATGGGTTTTGCAAAGTTACGTAGATAAAATTGCGTTCAAATACCTTTCACCATGTTTGGCAGAAAATGAATCAATCAATTTCAAATGAAAGAATTTTATGCATAAATCAGCTGTTCTAAGTTTGTTATTTCAATAACTTGTCCACAAAACAATTGAATGTGCAGGTATAAAAATACAGCCAATACGCCCTTCAGTTCCATTAAGTTTTAGATAGTCAATGCAAGTTACCAACATCTATTAGAGCCAATACAGTAATTGATTTTCAACTGGTGAATATATTACTTATGTATCATTCTGAAATTTTGCTCAACTTGAGAGAAACCTTTGAAATAGACGGAGAATATTGCCTTGTAGAGGAAATAACTTCCTTTACGACTGATGAGCACAAATTTAGTAATGTTGAGTGGGTGCATGCTTCATTAGCATTTTACTGCAGCCATTTAGACAATTCAATTATTTTGTAGTCCAGATAGTCTTATCTGTTCTGCATGAGGGTATATCTTGCTATTATTGATACATGCCACTTGCTATTTTCTGTGTAGTTTGTCTTTTTTATTGTAGTTGTTGTATTTTGAAATTAAAAGGCAAAGCAGTTGAACATTGATTGCCCCACATCTTTTAAGAGACAGTTACCGGTATGAGGTACTGGACATTCAAATATCCTATGTGTATTGCCATTTGCCAGTATACGATTTTGTAGAAAATTGATGAATTGCCCCATTGCATATACGGTATTCAAAGTGGAAGTTAGGTTGGGTTGGACTGGATTATAATATCAATTGTTCAGGGGATCTGCAAGACTTGTATATTTTTAGGAAGAAGCCATCAAAATTTGTATGCCAAGTCCTCGTAAGTAAAAGAATACTTGTCATGTGAGATAAGCCAAGTTGCATTTTGAATATTTTTGTTGGTTTCCTTGTGTATTAAAACAATGCATTGTAATAGTCACCTTTTATTTGCCATATTTTGGAACTCAAGCTTGTATAAAATTATTGTAGTTTAACATAGATAGCAAAATTTAATACCAGTAAATAAGCAAGTGAAAAACTGACTGGACCTTCTATCTGTTTATTAATTTTGAGTAGGTATTTTCATTTAACATTGCTTTACTGTATTTGTCATTGTTATTCAGTGATAGTGAATCCATGTAAATAACTATTACATATAAAAGATGAGAATATTAAGTTGTCTTCTATCGAATGTACCAATAGTGTCCAATACATCAAGTATATTTCAGAGAATATTGATGCATTTCCCGGATGGAGGAAACATGTCCCTTGCATTTGCCTATGGATCTGGTGTTTTTGCCCAAAAAGGTCACAAAAATCCCACAGCTAACATGTTAGACTTCATATTTGCTGTCCAAGATCCCTTAAAATGGCACAGCGAAAATTTGAGTTTAAATCAGAACCATTATTCATTGTTGATGCAAAAATTAGGCGCTGAACGAATTGCCCAACTTCAAGAAAACTATGGTGCAAATATATTTTATAATACTTTGATTATATGCGAAGGACGAATAATAAAATACGGCATAATAAGTAATGAAAAACTTGAAAGCGATTTATTGAATTGGGACAATTTATATGTCGCAGGGAGACTTCACAAACCTGTAAATATTATACGACACAGGTTTGAGAACAATCCGAAATTAATGCTTGCTATGAGACGTAATTATCATAGTGCGCTGTATGCATCGTTTCTAATGCTTCCCGAAGTATTTTCTGAGTGGCAACTGTACCACACCATTGCTGGTTTGAGTTATTTAGGCGATTTTCGAATGAAGTTTGGCGAAGACAAAAATAAAGTCAGCAACATAGTCGAGCCAAATTATACAAGATTTCAAGACCTCTACCACCCGATTCTTGAATCTATAGCAGCCGATTGCAGAGAATTTGTGTCCTGGAATGTAAAAAGTGCGGTGGTAGAAGTTGACAGTTCACCAAAAGCGCGACATGTTTACTTGGACAAACTTCCGTTGAGAGTGCAGATTCGAATGGCGAGGGAATTTGATAGAAATGCAATACAAATTCGAGACACTGAAGAAATTCTTCGCAACATAGCGCGGTATGCTAATATTGAAGATCCTGTTAGAGATGCTTTAATTTATACTGTAAAAAGATCTTCCTGGTCACAGAGTCGGAAGTCTCTGATCGGCGTAGGCCCCGTCAAAGGGTGGAAATATGCATCACAAAAACTCGACAAAATGTGGAAGGGAATGAAGAATAGTAAAAAGCTAACAGAAACTGTAGGAGATACTTGATTTGCAATTAAAATTCTGCGAATCATTTTAATTTAGTTTCCACCATTTCAGTTTCGCTTGATTGTTTACCATACATTTCTATCCGACAGTTTAAAGGAATATAGTGACATACCATCCAAGTCACAAAAGATTTTAAAGTCTCTTTTTTCGTTTTTAAGAACCATTTAGAGTAGACCCCGATGGTATCTCCGGATATACTGTCTCGTGGTTTTTAAATCCTATTCCAGCCTTCAATAGGCGGAACCTGAGGTTAAATTCATAGCGGTGTATTGATTACTTACTTAAACACCTGCAACTTCAAGATTTCGTTGCATTCCAGTTTTTACCCAGTTCTGTATACCCCGGCTATGGAGGATGCCTTCGAAATGAATATTTGAGGCATCGGAACGACATGCGGGGGGTCCGCACCGCTCGGGGATAATAGGTGTGTACCTTCATAGGCATTGTTACTTGTATCTTTCCTATCGCAAATACAAAACGCATTTTTACTACTAATCTGCAAAGTATTTTGGCTGGCGCACATATCACCAAAAGATCTCAGCGCGTATGGCATCGTCACATTCTTGATGCTGAGGGGGTCCAACCCAAAGCGCTGTGCAAACCACCGTTCTCCAGTAGCTTTCAGCATTTTTTTAAAAGTAAATGAACAGTTCCATTATTGTTCCCAACCCGCCAAGGCTTTTCTCATGCGTGTTGGACGATGAAATATGCATTGCAAAAACTGATACTAAATATCTGGACAGGTTTGGGATATATCAAATACGGATTTAATCCACAGCAAAAATTTCTCAACTGCAAAAACAGCACATGTACATACCAATCCCACAGAGGACTATAACTTTTCCATTAGTCGCGGCGCTTTCAGCAACGTTGATTAGGACATGGCACAGAATTATAATTGGTAGATGCAAAAACTACTTACTTGCCAATTGACTTGTGATTTATTATTATTAAAAGTCATAATCGCCCGCGACCTGTACAGCTCACTACATTCGTTCTGAAGTTCTACTTTAACACAGGGGGCCAACTTTTTTTTCATTCGATCGAGTATGCATAAAAGTTTGTATTGAAGGAAAAGCATAAAGCAAATGTTATTAATGAAATAATAAAAAATACTATAAGAAGATTCTTCGGAGATGAGAAGCAGGCGTAATCATATTACATTGTGGACATAATTTTTTAACTCCTAAAGCTTTCAACCAACATTTTTCGCAATGCACATGCCAACATTGAATTGACACCAACGGATTTTTGTAAGATTCCTGAAAAGAATATGAACATGTTCAATAACATTAATGACAAAACAAAATCTCTTTTTACGAAACAGAAAGCATATCTGTTAGCTTTCGTTAGATCTTGGTATAACATCTTCAGACAAAACAAGAAAAACTGATGACTGCAAAGATAAAGATCACAATAATTGTCGGGTCAGGTTACTACGATAACATTCAAAAAAGATATAAATAGAAAAATTAATTTAGTCGTTTTTTTTTCGTCCCTCATCACTTTTAGATACTGTCCCATTCACGTATCCTTGTGGCTACGGCCACATACGGATCCGAAATAAACAAGGAGAAAGGACCTGCAGTTCAACGCTGTCTACAATCAATATCCCGGAACTTTTCCCAATAACAGTGTTTGTAAATCATGACCGTCACGAAAAAGAGGCGTCATATCGTATTTCACGGACCACAAGTGGCCTGTCGATAAACTGCTAAGATCGGGTTTTTATTCACAAACAAGGCGCATTAGTCTATAAAACGCAACTTGTAGTGGTTTTTACTGTGGGCAATAAAGCACGACTTGATCCGTACATTACGCGCATTGGGTTTTAAGAGGTGCGATCGATTTTTGTAAAAAAGAGGTTTTTTCAAGTGCGCCTGACACGCGATGGATTTTTGAGAAAAAAAGTCTTATAAGTGTGCCTTATGGTCCACAAATACGGTTTTCCACAAGATGCAAACGATTACTTCACTTACCATGCATATCAGACATCGATTATCCTGACTTGACGATTCTAATTCCTGAATCTTTAAACGGAGAGCTTGGACAACGACAGAAGGGGAATGACACTCCATATTGATTCGTTTCATATTATCAACTACTGTGCTGGGATGAGAGAAAGCCATCGTCTTATCTTCGGGTGATCTGTTTAAAAATAAAAACAAGCACAAGTCGTTATATGAATAAAAGTTGTGCAGGCATGCATTAGCTCTGAACAAGAATCCGCCTATAAATGAGCTACCCCGAGAAATATCCGGTCGTCCTCAGCTGGAAATCTTAAACAATCAACATCGAACGGTCTCACAGCCACAACGCACATAGACGTGGTAAAAAATTTGAGAGAGTACTTCTGTAGTCTAAATTTGTCCTTCATGCGTTGGGTTAAAGTTGGCGTTTCGAGCCACGCTATATGAGAGATTTAAAATATCTTTACGTGTCTAGACATCCCGTATCCTTTTCTGCGTGATCATATGATGGAGTTCTATCATTTTCATCATCAGTAGATGGCGGTACAAGATCTTTATCACTATATTGTACAACACCATACTCACAAGTCTCGTCTGTTTCAACATTGAGATCCTGAGAATAAAACACATATTCATGCAAATGAATTCAGGAAAATGTAGAAATACCAACGACAATTGACGCATTGGGTCAAGCGTTAGAAACCCCAAACATTTACTAAACGAGGAGAAAAAGAAAAGAATTTTACAGTTTTGGGGGTAAATTTTATCTCGTATTCTCTGTAGTATTAATGATATTCTTTAGTTTTTATTAGCCCTATAATACCTGTTCTCATGAACACATAATTAACAACTTAGACTGTACAGAAAGGGGGAGTGCTATTAGCGCATAACACGAGCAAAGGATTTATTAAAGATTGAACAAATAAAGTAGTTTTACGCATAGGAAGAGTTCCAAAATGGGCAGAGTGATGAATTTGATAAAAAAGGCAGGAAATCATTTGTATACCCGCTCCAGAAGCCGAATGTTTGGAGCTCTTAGAGCAAAAATATGTGGGGGGAGATTTCTGAGATCAGGTTGGTAAATGTGGTTGACCTAACAGGACAGTTCAAGACTGTCTCTTCCAAATGGTTCCATTACATTTGAACCCACGACAATTGCACCTATGGAATTTTTTTCGTTTTACGGATATTTGAACCCATACTAACCCATGGGTTTTAGCACCCGCATATAGATTGAATTCGCGGATATATACATGGGTTCAAATGTATGTGGGTTCAAATGTACGGTCACCCTTCTAAATATGACCTCTCATTCCGGACGTTTAACTGATAGCAATTACCATGCCTTAGTAAAATACCTGAGACCCAGTTTTTTTTTCATATGATGGCAGTTTTCTCGCGTTATTGTATGATAAATAGAAAAATCGAATACTTGTTTGAGAACGTACCTGGTCAGAGTCCTCGTTTTCCGCATTCCGCATCACATGGAATCCTGGCGTGGAAGCAAGCAGGTCTCTATGTACAAGTGTAGTCGCCCGAACTCTTGTTTCGCCACACCATTCATATTCTTCAAACGCACCATCATCTTCTTCAACGTCAACTACTGTTCCTGACTCTCCTGGGACGTCTTTGTCGTCCTTGAAAAAATAAAAATTTTATTTTGCTTACAAGTATGTCTCCAACGCCAAAAAGATCATTGAGAACACATTTCAGAGAGAAGATAAATTTTGCGCAAAGCGTCCTAAATTACTGGAACTTTGGGGTACAATCACACACAAACAAAAGTTCAGTTGTCGAATAAATTCCCCGTTTTTTCATAAGAGTAAATAAAAAATTTATGAATTGTGTTTTTAGGTCACCTGTATAACTGAATGATTCTTGAAATAAATACCGCTGTGAATTCAAGTAAAACGGAGATAAAAATTTAAAAAAAATTCACCCTCGTTCCCGCGCAATGCATCACGTGGTCAGAAATTTGCTCATGGCTGCTCATGTGACCTAATGAAATTTCACAGACAGGACAACGAACTCCTTCAAATCTCGCTTGTATGGGTGCTCCGTTGCTCTGCACGGCGATACTGTTATTGTTATAATCGATCCAAGGGGCCATCGGCTTCCCAGAGAACATAGCTCCGTTTCTCCACCCAGGTACACGACACTGACCCACTCTGCTGTTGAAACGGTCAAGTCGATTTCCGCGCACTTTCTGGAAAGTCTGAAATTAGAAACGCAAAGTTAAGGAGAGAGGATAAACATTTGAAAGTTTCTTGCTTACTTTGAACAACATTTTGCGATTATTGTATTAGGATAGGACTAGTCACAAATTGTTTTCTGTCCTTCACTACCTTTGATTTGGGCAGAGCAACGACACTAAAATTTAAAAGATATATATCTTAGACCTTTCTCTATTATTATATCGTTAAAAACAGCCCTATAAATAATTTTCATGAAGAACGATGGTTCGAGTGCGATATTTTCTACAGGCAAGCAAGATATACGTCGTAAACCAACATTACATTACGTCAATCATATCATATGTTTTCGATAAAAACCTAGCAGGCAATTATGCATATGTAAAACGTCATAATTAACGTTAGAAACATAAGTAACTTCTCTCTCCAACGCCAACATTTTAGAAAAATCACATATTTGTTTGCATATTCAATTACAGTTTTGCCAAGCGGGTCACCCTTCTGGAAAGCAAATTTCATTATCGTTCGGATTAGTGTCATAAAACAGTGTAAGACAAATGATCTTGTATTATCATATATATATTTAAAATAGAATAGTGGGGCATTCTTTGATCGATTATATACCACTGATAAACGACACACACCATCTGTGGCCCATACTAGGAGCGTAAATTATTTGATTTAATTGTCTTGACTGGGGTTTCGGTCATATCAACAATTCAATTAGCATTTGTCACACACAACTGAAAACAAGTCACGCCGCAAATTCGAATCGCATTATGTCAATTAGAATCGATAAATGATGATTTAGCTCTGTGGCTGATGTGTGTTCACACTGATATAATCAATTATTAAAATAAAAATAGTTTCATTTCAAATTATTTGCGATGTAAACCACGTGAAACAAAATGGTGGATAAAATCCCATATCGCAAGTAAAGGCGGAGTTCTGTGCGTGCGCCCAAATTTACATTCAACAAATTATAAAGGAATTCGATTGATAAAACTTGAAACATATTTTTAATTTTTATACTTCTCTAACTTTTGAACATCGCTTCCGAATTTGATTAGAGAACCAGTTTGAAAATAATTTAATTCTTTGTAAATTTCAAATTACATTAATCCGTCTTTTTGCTTCAAAAACCCTCGAATTATAAAATGAAGCGCATTGATTTTTGCATGTGCTGCTATTCAGAAATACAAAATTAACACAAATCTGTTTGGTAGTTCAGCCTTCAACATCACAATGAACAGACAGTAAGAGATAGCATATTTTTGGTTGGCTTGCTCGCTATTATACGAGACGACTATGTAATACGGATTAGACAGAAAATTTGACTTCGACAAGATGAAAAGGAGCGCGTGTTATACGACCATGTTTAATTAACATTATAACACTGACATCACATTTACAATCTAAAAGAAGTAATATAGGAGATAATTTTATTATGTTTGTTGTAAAAACAATAGGCGTCCTCGAAATACATTCACATCATTAAAGCAGATGGTATATAATCCATATTTTAAGTATGTATCGCTTTACAATTAGGACGTTGGTGCTTCCTCCCCAGGTAAGTGGTTGACAAGTCACGTACAATTTAACAACGGTCTTGACAAATATCATAAAACAATAAATTTGACAATCAAAATGTCACTGAATGAATTTTTTAAGCAACCGAAACACTTCAAAAATGGGTGAAATACGCTAATATTGACTAAACATTATGCCTAAAAGGGAAATTGTATCCAAAAATACTCAATTATAAAGTCGGTAATGAATCGCGGACCCGTTATTTTCGTAATTGTTATCAAAAATCATATAACGCCATATGACGTTGGTAAAATGATACAGTATATGTCTGAGGTTAAGAACCTTAGGCAGATTTACAGCCGTCCTTGAAGAAACCATATACACTTCATATAAAAGGAAAATTGTGTATTACCGTGCGTGTGGAAAAACAGGGCTCAAGCATGGCGCCTTTCTTCTTTAAAGTAACTGCGCGCGAATGAATTGAGCAAGAAGACATCGAAGAAAAATGAACATTTGAATGTTGAAATATTTTACTGACCCGCGAGGTGTTTACCATGGCGACATAAATCAAACTGATTGTGTGGCCTTATGCACCCATATACAATCGGAACCGTTCTTAAGAAGCTCTTTTGATCTCGGTGGTTTGTTAGCTTTCGTCATATTTCATATTCTACGAGTGACGATAATCTACTAGCTTTTAGTGTCAATCTTCATATAAATTTTACGATTCGTTTGTTTTGTGCTAATACGGGATCAAGGGTCATGACACACTACATTGGACTGTACTTTGTAATTTGTTTACCAGTTTACGACTAATTTGTTTCCAAGTATAGAGAGTAATTTACAGTGATCTGGCGACAGAATTATAACTAGTTTTGGTGAAAATATACTATATTTGTTTAGTGATACATGTTGTAAATAATATTTTATTTTTGTATTGGTAGTTTTTCTAGTGACATATAAAGAAGTTACAGAGGGTTTAAGAATCGGGTCGCAGATTTGTGGCGTCAGTGCTGTCATTTTCCTTTTGACGATCACGTGATAAGGGACGTGAACATAAATTTATGAGTAAATTAAAATTAGTACTTTCCAAATTTTTCAATTTTTTTTTTGAAACTAGATTCCCATTTGACAGAATAACAATACCAGCCAACATAGGTTTGCGTACGATACCTTCACCAGGTCCAGTCTAGACAAACATAAGCACGAAATACTGAAATAAAATTAAATCCCTTACTAGGCAAACACTTATGATAGGAAAATGAACATGTCCGCTTTCATACGCTGTTAGTAGTGGCTCACACCTGGGTGGAACAAGTATAAGTCATGCTTATACGGAGAAATCTATCTACAATTTTGTTTAAACAAGGGCAGAAATGTTAAACGAATCCAAACGACGCTTTCACACCTGGGAGTATTTACCAGGTTTGTCTCTAATTATTTTAAGATAGTCGATTTTTTAGTCATGATTACCCCGCACCTGCGCCCTATCTCACGCCAGGGGTCAAACGTAAACGCCATAAGCTAACTAAGCAGTTTTTAAACACAATCGAAGCTGCTACATCCATGTTTATTAAATGTATTCTGTTTATCTAATGATAACCGTTGACGGTAATCAAGTTTCAATGGGTTGGACTTGTCAGTCTATCTGGGCAAGATTGGGAGGGGCAGCCGGTTGTTTTATCAGGAAAGTTTCGAAAACAATTAGCTTAACAAAGGTGTATCGAAAATTACTTAGAAGACATTCTGAGTGGTGAAGCGTCGTAGTCGTGGTGCATATATATTCTTTCATTTAAACAAGATATTTTTTGAATAAAATCGGTATATAAAATTATAATATTTATTAAAAAGTAGTAGTCCATTAATGAATCCACCAAAAAAAATCTTCAATTGGCGCGGGGTGTGTGCAAAATTTGTTTTTGTGAACTATAAATCCTTAGGATCCTGGGCATATCTAAGCGTTGTTCATAGTACAAAATAAAATTTAAAAAAATTCGAATTGAAAATATTATTATTCGAGAATATTATTTACTGCGATATACTAAACAAAATGGTATTTCGAAACTTTGTGAAAACTTTTATTGGATGATTGATTGCGTTAGTATATTCGCCATCGACCGCGATGGCGTGTTAATATATTATAACATACTATAAAGCAGAAAAACAACACCAAACAGTTACAGACCAAATAATCTGGACTTATAAAAACGAACAGAATAGCAACAGTCATTTCGATACTAAAATATACGTAAGACTACAAAAAACTACCAATCACGACGAATATAAAAGTTAAACAATCACAAATTATCTCATACTGATTTTGTAAGTACTTGAAATATCAGGTAGAAATTGCTACAAATAACACAAAATTATGGTTAGTTGTTCATGATTTATAACAGTGTCATTTAACGGAAATATACATAGCTACCGAAGTAAACTTACGTCTCAAACACGAGCGTATTTGCTCACATCAGTGTATCATCGGGTTTAATCGACTTTTGATCCCATGGAATTAATAACGCTAATAATTCAACTCGCTAGCGACAAGGCAACCAACCCCGCCCTATCGGGACATCGAGCACATCACAATACGGCGATTAAGATTGGATAATTTATACCGCGTCTTTCATAGGTATCTTGAGATCAAACAGAAAAAAAAACTTGGCAAATCACAAATGTAACATCTCGGCAATGTTTAGGTATTCATACCCAGTCAAGTACGATAGATGGATAAAATACATCGCTGAGAAGCTACACATCTATGGCCCATTCCTAAGGAACGACCAATTTCTAAGCAACCACAAATGTACCATTATTACAACCTGCTCGAATAATCATGTTGATGATGCGAATATCAACGGCACATACTCGTTCCAAAGTAAATTTGTTCGGCGCATGACAGCGACAGATATAAATTGCCGAGTGTAATCCGGGAGGCGCCGCACCCGGAGTCAGTTCTTTTTCTTAACCGCCAGAGTGTATTAATCATATCGACTTATATGACAATATGACAACGCGTGCGTAAATGACCAATATTTAGCGAGTATTAGCACTGAATGAATGTGGATTTGAGACGGGAATGTTGTATCAAAGTTTCTTAAAAACAGAAACAGGGAAAATATTTCGTATTAAATATTGCGAAGCAAAAAAACAACGAGCAGTAACAGTCGTCGGGCGCATGATAATCATGTACACATCAAGTAAGCTTGTGAAGTAAGAAGGGTATATTTCTCTCGACAGAAATCATACTGTTCTAGTATGAAGGCCCTGGAGAAAATATCATCTATAAAAACCCTTGCAAACCAGTCTACAAACGCGGCGCTCCAGAAGTGTGTGTACCAATATGGAGGTAACTGATTTTTTTCGCCTGCTTTACATCAAGTTGTGTGAGGGACTGAAACCTATGGGCAAGGGATATGTATTTTCACTTGGCGGACACAGACAGTCCCCGTACTCGTAATAGAACTAAAACAAGGAAAATCGGAATTAAATTATGGCCTAACCATAACCTACACACACTACGGGAGTACCCAAACGATCATTGTCCCAGTTTTATTCGTAAAAGAACAAACGATGCGTATTGAAAAAACATAATCACTTCCTTCCCTGTTATTCCTATATGCAACTCTTATGCGAGATTTTATGACAGATTAAAATCGCGGTCCATTCAGACCAGACAATTCGTCGGAGTCTAATGCACTCTGTCATATTAGATGTATTTGTATTCAATGGACGTTATAGCAGCAGCATAATACGTAATTTACGCTAATTTCTCAATTACTTACCCGAAATCTATTTTCTTTGCTTGTTGTATCATTGTCATTCGCCTCGTCATGCTTTTTACTTGTCGTAGCGGCAATCGAAGAATCCGATTGCATTGACTAAAATTATTTTAACATTTCATTAAATTGGATGTGATTTAAACATGAATATTTTATTTGAATATACTCAGAATAAGAAAACAATATGTTTAAATGATTAATATTGAAAAAATATTACCACATGCGATGATGTCGGTCCAGATATTCGTCTGGTAGCCTTTGCATGTTTTTTCAAATTATTCCGGTATACCTCACTGAAAAAAATAGTAATAATGCTTAGTTGTAAAATTTTTTCTAACTAAAATTAAAAGAAAAATATTCTATATCACAATAGTATGCGAATAACAGTAAATTTGAAACTCTTCCCAAACGCGCCCGTTTAAAATTGATAATTGAAAATCAAGAGAATTAAAGCACATTTTCTTTATGTTCCTACAAGATTCCAATTGAAAAACAATTTGACAAGCGGAACGAACTCACTTGTTATAATTAAAATAATTTAATAACGGGTCGATTGTGACATAAACGCATGATTGTTATATATGTAAGTTTTAAGTCAGGAATTTTGCAATCTTAGAATAGGACATGTACATTTGTCAAGCAAGAATGAAGAAGATTTGCAAATTTATCTAGTCAACATACGAAACCAATAAATGTAAGAAATTATACAACATAGATTTACTGTGAAATCACATGTAATTTCTGATTCGTTTATCTTTTATTCGATGTAATCTAATAAACAGTGGATTCGGGACGCGGCTATATGGGTGCGAAACATCAATCACGTTCATTATATTCTTATTTGAACGGCGGCCATTTTGAATTTGAAAATATGATCCCACTGCGCGTCTTGTAATACGAAAAGCAAACATAGGCATATGGTGAAAAGTCGACATTTTCAAAGACTTCGCCGGCTCGACATGATGGCAAGAGCTCATTAACGCTTAGAGAAGAAAAAATTAACTTAATGAAGACGAATCAGTCACATTGCTATAAAGAAATTTGTTTAATTTCGTTTGTTTTGGCAACGGAATTTATGGTAACAACCGCAAAAGGCAGGATTAGTAGAATATGAAAAATACTGAAAGAAAACGAATATAAAATCTGCGATTTCCTAAATATTGACAAGGTATTTCAGTAGAAAAATGAATGAAATGAATGCAAAGCATATAAAACAATTTAGCCTATGCGTGACGAAATTTTCTGGTCATTCGAGGGTATATGGTTGATTCTTTTGAATAATTTGAAAAAGGGAGAATTGCCAAAAAAATCTTACTATCCGATCTTGTCCAGTTTCCCAATTTCTTGTTTCAAATGTTGTTGCATTTCCGATTCTCTGACGGTGACACCACAAATAGGACATGTGTCACCACAACCAGTCGAACGTCTTTTTCCTTTTAAAAATGAAAAAAAAAATTATTCAATTGAGCTTGTAAAATTTCAATGAACCGGATAACTGAATAAGTAAGCTTACTTTTTAGTCGTTCGGAAGACGAATAAGCTGATGATGGGCGTCCATCAGACGAATCACTTGCGATTACATTATTTGAAACACTTGATGTAGGAGAATGAATTCCATTGGGTGGAGATGTTATGTTTGAAGGTGTTTTCAAAATATTCTGGGAATCTGCGTTGGGAGATGGGTTATTCTGCGACGAGGAATTTGAGTTATCGTTCGATTGTCGCTTGAAATCCCTTTGCTGATTCGCGCGAGTTTTCATAGCATAAGAAGAAAGAGCCGGAAAGGCTCCGGTTTGATGCAGATGAAAGCGGTTGAAATCGGTTTGGGGTGGTTTCAATGACGAAACACGGCTAAACGCACTGACTGCTCCCGGCGGACTCGTTGAAGTAGCTGACCAGTTTGGTGATGATGGTGATGTCACGTTTTTAGTGCCACGGAAATTGGGAATACAAAATTGTCCATTATTTTGATCGGCACGAAGACGTAGCAAGTAATCGTTTGGGGTTAGTCTTCCGTAAAGTCCCTCTGCAAATTACATAGATGAAAATTAAAAGTCCTGTTAAATTATAGTACTCTAAATTGAATATAACGTAACAGAACTAACACGGACACGGTTAAGGGCTCATGCAACATAAAAATAAACAACATACCGTAAAAGCTTCGAAGTTGAGCTGCAGGGTTTGCGTAATTGTCTAAACTTGCAATTCTTCCAGCGTCTTGCTGTATATTCTCACCTTTTCGGGGAGGTGACGTTTCAGAGAATTTTGTTGAATTCTACAAAAAATTATTGCTCTAAGTAACAAAGTTGCTTTAGCTGGCCCGTAATGCACCACCATAATTCTATATTGTTCAGTAGTTTCTTACACGTGAGTGTTCGTCTGAAACTTTACTCGGAGCGGATCCTTCACATCAGGGTTTGTGCGCGTGACCCCCATGACCCCACTTTGAGCAAATTATTTTCAAAAATAAAACAATTTAAGATACCGTAATTGAGCGTCATACCCGTATTTTGCGTTCATAAACCGCAATGAAACCTTGAATGAATGAACGCAAAGAAAGCTTAATGAAGTTAAACACATCTGTTGGACGAACTTGACGCCCAAAGACAAAAGACCCCCCCCCCCTCCCAGCAAAAAAAAAAACTGACACAGCCTAAAATATAAAAAAATCAGTAACTTTTAAGTAAGGGCAAGGGCTAGGAATGTAAACTGCGCTGGACTGCGGGGGTGTTTTTATCAAATTTCACATTTTTACATTAGTGGTGGGTATTTGTACAAAAGATCCTAAAATATTATTCATTATGTTTTCTTTTCATTAACATACCTTATTCTCTATTCCAACACTGTCGTCTGGTGATATAAAAGGTTGAGCCTTTACAGCAGTTTTCAATAGATTCTTGTAGAATTCTACAAAACGAAGTTGCAGATTTAGCTTATTGTAATACAAGACAAACGACTCATAACATAGAAGTCAGTGAGCTTCACTGATAAATGCTTGAGATGTACTAATCATATTTAGTAAAAAGGAAATATTCAACAAATAATACCAATAGTCGTTTACCATATACTATGACCAAAATGCTAAGTATTGAAATTCCTGTGTTAATCAGATATATTAGAATACTGCACTGTATGCAAAGCAAGATGGACTGTAACGCGCCTTCATTATTGAAATATGTTCGAAGAATTTTTTATTAATTTGCAAAAAAAAATCTTACCTGAATATAGTAAATCTGTTCTTCGGGCAGCGACAGACGCTAAAAAAGACCCCGGTGCTGATGACGTAAGTGCTGGATCAGGATTGAGTATCGGTGGTTGGATCGTGGGTCTAGCAGAATTTACCATAGGATAAAAATGCGCGACAAACGGCGATGGTTGTGGCGGTAAACCGAATGGACTTCGAGTTGGTAATCCGAGACGGGAACTGTAATAAGAGTTTATTTAATTCATAAGAAAAATTCGAACACCACACATCAGAACGAAAAATTTGTACCCTCTGCTACTGACTACGTCCAATGCACAACGAAATGAGTTTGTTATTATTATTTTCACATAATCAGTAAATTTAAATTGTGCGAAAACCCTAATAGTACTAAAAACTGTTGCAGATTAAGAATTTTTATACCCTTGTCATAAAGCTTATTTAATATAATACATAATAATGTGTTTAGTTATAAAAATTGAGTCATACCTCAAATCGGAACAAGATCCACCAAACGGCGGGAATGGTCCGTGTTCTGCAAATAAAATAAAAATAAGGAGATTTAGTTCAATATATACCTCGCTTTTGCCGCCGTTTTATTATTGTAATAATATTCTCAACTCGTGAAAAATTCACAAATTTAACAAAAAAAAAAACTCGCAAAAATATGTCTTTGACTTACCCATGGACTCTCTTAAAACTATGCGAAATTAAATTCATGCCATAATATATAATCGCTAACGTTTTAAATATTTCTACAAATTGAGTAGAATTGCGGCCTGCGGTAGTCAATTTTAATACTTCATGATTCTATTTCTAAGCGATTCTTTTCTAAATATTTATTTTAAAAGTTTGTGCTAGATATGTCTATAATCCATCGATGTGCCATAAATAGACTCACCGGCAGTCATATTTCAAGATATGGAAGAAAGTAGAATGCCGCTTCGTTATCGGACGATAGCGATATTTAAATACAGCTAAGACAACCTATTACTCAAGAAGTCGATGTTCCAAAGATCTTTGAACAAACAGCGCCGATCGAGGAACTAAGAAACTGATATCGCCTTCACCGTTTTTACCGTATTTATATCAGTAAACGATTTCGCACACGAGAGAAGTTGTTATCGGAAAATTATTTTCACCCATGTATAGCCAGCTATCAATCATTTCTCTCGAATCATAATCGGATAATTTCTGGACTGGGTGAGAATCCTCAAGAGACTGTCGCATAATACACAATATGTAAAAATTGAAAGAACAGGCTTAACTATTATAAAATTTATTGTTTATTTATTATATTAATAAAATTCAAATTAAGTATTGTGGTTACCCAATCGACTTGGGTTCTTATTCGATTATCTATAACTTCATTTACAGAATATATATAAAAATAAATAAGAAAAATAAATATTCAAAAAGCCCCTCGTGATGGGCAAAATTTAACCACGCAGGAAATAGATTCGATTTAAAATAAAAAATAAAAGTAATAATCATATTTAAAAGTCAAAAAATATTTGTGGGAAGTGCACAATATGACGATGATTTTTATCATTGGCAACTCCTTATCGTTTCACACAGGTTAGTATATGTCACTGAAATATAAAATCAAGTGTATTACCAAAATTTCAAAGTAGAGTTAATTTTAATAAGTTGTTAAACTTGTTATACATATATTTAATTTAAATATAATTTTATTCAAAAGTTGGGGACTAATTAACTGGTGTCCACTTGATGCCAATATATATAAAACAGATTTTTCACGGTGTCAATTTTTCGTCGCGGCAAACGATGTCAAATTATTGACTATGTGATTTTGTTGATTGCTGAGGGATTTCAATCTCACAAAGGAGTGTGTCACTCATATTGGCAAGTGTTTAACGGGATTATTAGGAGATACTAATAACTGCTAAATGGCTGTTGGTTTTAACCTTAATTAAGCCGTTTGATTTATTGATATAGTGATTTGCATATGGTGGTCACCAATAATCACGATCGAATAATTCGATCACGATCATCAAAATACTGTTCTGAGGCTAAAATAAACTAGCCAAAAAATGGCGGGGTATGTACAAATTTGTAAAAAAAAAACACGGTGGCTAAGAGGGTCGGTTGGCGACTGCAGCAGTTTAGACTAACTTTTACATACCAAAATAAAACACACCGGAATTGTGTCAGGAATAGTTACATGGACAAAAACGATCCATAATCATTTATCTGTTTGTGAGCACCTTTAATGGCATTCACTTTTATTTAAATCCATATTTCTGAAGCGGTAACAGTAATATTCCATCGATCCAAACTTAATATTAGAATAACTTAAAACTGCCAAACTTAATGGCAGAATCGAATAAAAGTCAAACGCAATGGCCGAAACGCTATCTTCGATCAGCGATATCTGAAAGTTTAAATTCAAATCCGAGAGTCTATATTAATATATATGAATATTGCTTAGTTATTCATATTCAAATACCTATCGGCAGGGTGGGCCCAAAAGCGTAGCCAGTCCATTTTTTTTTTGTACAATGACGTAATACGAAGCTGACTCGTGCCTTTCGCTCCGAACAAGGCTAGATAAAGAATTTATGCCCCACCGCAAAATTGCATTAAAAAAAATGTTGAATTTTTTTTCGGGGGGGGGGGGGGGGGGGGGGAGGCCGGTCACTATTATTAAACTTTTTACATTTTATAAAGATTTATTTTGTAAATATAAGGGAGATTCAATATATATTTATAGTATACAATTCCTACAGATACCGGTAGTTAGGGGTGTAGCCAGGAATTTTCAAAGGAGTGGGTTATGATCTTTCCTATAGCCAAGTTAGACCGTAACAGCTAGGTGGTTCGGACTGGTTCCGGAGGCCGGGAAACGTGGGTTTTCGTGAGTCTTGAGGGTCTAAAAATTGTTTCAAGCCACAAAAATTCCAATGTATGATAAAGAAAATGCTCCAACAAAAACGTTGAAAACTACTGGACTAAACACTATGTCCGAACAATGATATCAATAAAAATTATGGTCTATTTTGTGGAAAACCTTGGGTTTTCTACAGCAAAATATATTCCATTTAATTGGATGTAAATGAAAGAATAAATAAAACATAATATACTTTTTGTATACTAAATACACCAGATATAAAGTATACTAAACAACCAATTCAGTTCTGAAAACAAATTCAGTGCAAGCCTGCTTATCTCATAGAAAACAGAATTTCATTTTTAATCTTTTTAAAATACAAATTGGTGCTTTCTTGATAGAAAGCAATCAAATTCATCTTTCATTTACACTCAAAAATTACTGGCAAATTTCATTGGACATTCACAGTCAAATTGAACTTTTTAATTTAGAATATGATTGTTTACAATTCATATTTGTATATGTATATCATGTATGTGATGACTGATGAACATTCGGATTCCCACTTGGATTACCCAAAACTTATATTATTACCTAATATTATTTAAAGTTGGTCTAGGTAGCCCATTTAAAATGGTTATAATAGGTTAAAGTAAATTTGAGTGAATGTTCTAATTTTCATGATTATTATTTTCTGAGAGAACATTATCCCAAATACCATGCATTTCAATGACCAATTTGTGGATGAACAAAATTTATAATTGAAAAGGAACAGTAGTATAGCAATCCTATCAAACAGATATTTCAGTAGGCAGATAGCGATCATAGCAAAAAAAAAATGGCTGTTTTGACAGGGTCATTTCATAAACCCATGATTTGTAATGAATGGAATGCCACATATCACACTGGATGGAATGGAAGAGTGTCATGATCAAAAACCTCTTTACTTAAAGTCTTTGAGTGTATATGTGACATTGAAGTTATTCTGACTTATTCATCGATGAAGTCAGAACCATGTTCGATTAGTATATTCTTGTTGGTTCAACAAGTCAAGCAAGTGATTGATTCAGTGAAACAGTTTTGTGTGTCTATTTTCAACATTTATCAATGATATCAACATCAAAAAGGCCACTAATAAAACAAAAGCAATCGAGGTTTTGGGACAATCGATTTGTAGTTTCTTTGTTGAGATTTGTTTTCAAAATGACAATAATGATCTAGTTTTATGGGAATAAAATGTTAATATTTTTCTAGCTCAAATAGTAACGCCCATTCTGATAAATTACATTTTATAAAAACCTTATATTCCTTGTTGAGTTAGTCTACTGTGACAGTCTGACAGTTGAAGTACATACACGAGTGTCAACTTTACTACTTGACTTCTTCAGCCTTAGAATCCTGAAATAGAGAAATTAAAATCACTATTATAGGCCCCAATGACACAGTAGGGTTAGATAATATGCTTCTGAATATGTGAGGCCAACTGGACTGTGATTGAGTATGTATCCTATTCAGCATTCTTAAGTACATCGCTTCATTACTCAACTTTTTTTAATAGATCAGAAATCGGCAAATATCAAGTCAATTACTGGTTGAGTAAGACAATTTTTGTTATATTACAGTTACAAACAAGTTGAAAAGTTTTAAATAGTGTCAATATAATCATTAGCTATGAAATCTAGAGCTTGGTATGCGCAATAAATTTTATAAATTTCAAGTAGGCTAATAAATTTTTAAGAAACTTGGGTTAGAACAAGAATTCAGCCAACTTCAGTCCAAACAATGCAAGCCACACCAGAGAAAAATGGAAGATAATGAGCAGCTAAGGCAGCAAAATCTTTTACACACCAACTAAATAAAATGTTTACAGCCTACAGTCCGACAGTTGAAAATGCTTGAATGCGATCACAGCACTTTAGCAAATCAGGACAGGTTAAATAATAGATTGTCAGAGCGAACATTGAGACTGCGCCGACCAAAATTCACAAATTGCTAGTTTTTTTCAACTACAATTTTCAAGGTCAATCTATAATTTTGACAAACCGTTAAAAGAATGGCCAAAACAAGCAATTTACAGTCAATACCTTCCTCGCATTAGCATACGTATTTCCGACTACAATATCGTGTGCAAAGGCATGTGTTTTTAGCGTAACTACACAAAAACGAACCGCAGATGCCAGCGGATTACATTTACAAGGTAGTCGAAAATCAGATACCTTTTTAGATCTCGTAGCAAAGGAAACATTGCCGCGACAATGACGTCATACCATAACAAACTCTAGCCAATGATGCGTATCGTCTCCTTTAGCCACTGGATGTTCCCCGAGCACTGATTTCCATGTGTATTTCCGTAACAAAGACCAATCAGACCTTGCTTTGAGTTATTTAATTTTTATCTCGGAGGAGAGAAAAGTCGGAGTCCAACAATTTGTTTCGCACGTACGTAACACTTTGGATTACACTTTGCCATTGCGAAATTTTCGATGTCCATTTTGAGCGTGTCTTGAAAAGTTAGTGCATAAAAACACGCCTGCATGCTATCTAGACTCTATTGTTCTCATCTCTTTTGTCGCATAAAATTTATGATTAACAACTGGAGTGTAAACAAAGAATTTCTGCATATGTCATTTATTTATTGTTCACCTTTTTAGAACATAATTCTTTTGAGTCGTGGTCCCACCCAACGTTGGTTTTTGGCAAGTTCATGTCTCGAACAAATTTTCACTGGTTTCGTACAATCTATTGTATAGCACACAAACATGCGACTTATACCCTATTCCCATCCCTCCACACCAGAACCTGGGACATGGACATGCCATGAACTGACTATTGTACATATCGTCGTGGTGCCGTACCTCATTGTCCTGTGTATTGTATAAGAGTTTTATTTGTATATTTCATGTCTGTTGTCCTACTATAACGCAGCAGTCCTAAACTGCAGTTATACTTGTTGAGGTGCATGTCGCACATCTGTGGGTTAGGCCAGTAAGGTCTTGAACATGTATCCCGTCTTTGTTATACCGCTTTTTGAGGCAAATAAACATACATACATGTTCAAAACTATCATTTTCATGAAAAGCATTATACACGTGTGGGTCACATGTCCTCATGCGAATTTCAAGCTAATTTATGCAAGGTTTGCGGAAACCAATTTTGAATATTGCAACTAAACTAAAGTGTGATTTATAATAACGCATTTTCAATGAACCATGATTAATAAAAATGCAGCGCACACGATAGCCCAGATGAACGCCTTTCTGTCACGGAATGTATACCCTTCCTCGAATCAACGCAGTATGTCAATGTAATTTTTGGGGGGTAGTTAGCCTCGTCGTTGGATGCCAAGCGTGACGTTGTTAATTAAGTAATATTCTGGTCCACTCTAACTTCGTCACCAGCGGTGACACAGGGGAAGCGTAGAGACATTGTCAAACATCAGGCTACAGACCAAGCTGTGGGAAAGGAACTCTGAACCAGCGTTTCCCAAACTGTGTTCCGTCTTAAATAGTCGCCATGGAGATCTATGGCAGGGCTTCCCAAACTAGGGGCCGCTAAACGAATTTTGAGGGCCGCAAAGAGTACACCAATTTTACAAAACATCAAAAACGCATATTTCGAACCATTATTAACGAGGACGAGGGGCGCGAAAATTTTTAATAGAATATATATATATTATTATTTAATATATATCTATATTAAAAGAGATCGCGAGCTCAAAAGTTTGGGAAGCCCTGATTCATGGAACGTGAAGTTGTCGCACAACTGACCGTTCAGTATCGCGTCACCATCGGCTTAAATCGTACTAACTGAGAAGGGATAGTGGCATTTTCGATAACTGTCGGCCTAGCTTTTTGACTGTTAAGTTCATTATCAAGTTTACAGCAATCATTTTGGTTTTGCTATAGGCAAACGAGTAGAGACCTAAAGAATGAAGGCAAAGGGTCAACTCTTCTTCCTCCATCTCTGCCTAGTTTTACTTTGAAATGCTGAAAAAATTACTCATTTTCGCTAAACTCTATTAAGTAGATAAATGCAGCGAAATTGCAGGAAGTACTTCTATCTCCATTAGACGTAACATTAGAGGCAAACACTACGTAATGGAAAGTAAACGACATAGAATGGTAAAATGAATTTATTGATTCATATACACAGCGTTCAAATTAAGAAACAATAAAACATTAATAATAAATGCAACATGTAAAATATTCAATCCTATTTTAAGTATTTTAACACAATTTTGTTAGTTTTCGCCGCGCATTTGACAACATTTTCTTTGTCAATTTTTCCCCCTTTATTTTTTGGTGTTCCGCGAGGCGAGATAAAAAGTGGAGGGGTTCCGTGGCCGAAAAAGTTTGGGAAACGCTGCTCTAGACAATAAAATCGGTCAAGGAAAGAACGGTGGCCGACGGTCAAAAGAGCAGCGTTAGCAAACAGTCAAAGGAGAATAAAGATTAGGTGAAAGTATGAAAGCCAGAGGGCCAGCGGCCATAAAGTAACGAGAATGAAAAAGATGAGGTGGGCGAGGAAAGAAAGGGGACCGGCTGGCAAGAAAGAAGATGAGGTAAATGTATATAAGCCAGAGGGGCCAGCATTAGTCGTTGGGGGCCAGTGGCCATAAGCCGCAATGTAAAGGTAAGCAGGCCAGTCATGAAAATAGGGACGGATTAAGGGAATATAGTAGAGATCGTCAGCGCAAGCTAAAGTCAAGAAAAATAGATATTAGCGAAGTCGGGCGGAATAAAAATGGAGGTGATAATAACACAATAAGCGATGCTAGCTAGCAGCAAGCAAAGTCGGGAAGACAATGAAAAATGGGATGAGAACAGTGGAACCTCCTGGAGTCCGTATTGAATACAAATAAATGTAATGTGAATAATACACATTGCTAGGTAATCGAGCAATCAAACTGTTGTGCGTATTTTCAACGGTGACCGTACATTTGAACCCATGTACATTTGAACCCATGCGTATATCCACGGGTTCAATCTATATGCGGGTGCTAAAACCCATGGGTTAGGGTTAGTATGGGTTTACCTATCCGTGAAACAAAAAAAATTCCATAGGTGCAATAGCATACAGGTGCAATTGTCATGGGTTCAAATGTACGTGGGTTCAAATGTAATGGAACCATTTTCAACCAATACAGCGTTACGCGAAAAATGTTCATCACTAGATTCAATTAAAACGAAGCAAAGAAATTGGCTGCACGTCACTGCAGAGCTACGTCTTGCAAAATCTTCTTTGAGGTCTCGTTTGCAATTCTATATTGGGAACGAAACAGCAGCAAAATTCTCAATAGAGTTATTGTGTTTGTACATATTTTGTTCATATGTATTATACACGTTTTTTTATGTGAAATGTTTTATGCGTGCCTTTCTTACAAATACTGGGTGACCAGCACTGCATTTCATTACGCAAATATATAGTATTATTTTATATTTAATCCATTTCAATTTTTGGCCAGCACATTATTTGATAGCTTTTCCCTGTGTGAAATGTTTTTAAGTGTGCCCCTTTTCGACATTGCAATATATTACGCAAATATATGTTATTTTTTTCTGTTCTGGTCATTTCAATTTTTGCCGGTCCGCAAGTACATTTAATCTAAGTTTACCGGTCCGCGAGGATTGTAGAACACCCAACGTAGTCATTTTGAAACGGTCATGGGCCATTCCAGGCAAATGTTGAATTTCATCAATTTTGAAAAAGTGGAGTGAAAGTAATTGTTTTGTATTTTTTATATCAAAAGGCACTTGAATTTTATTGGACTGCATTCATTTCACGGGAAAAGTTAAAATTTCACTCAGGTTTTCGATGGTTTACACAAAATGGCTTGGAATGTAGAAATTTTGATATAATTGACATGTCTTGTGATGACCCGTAACTCGAGGTGTTTGATTGTCTGGCACAGTTATTTCCTTTCAAATAGATGCACTGGACTTAAGTAAATAAGGATTAAGTTTTGGCAGTGCTGTAGGACATGTCTTTACCTATTTATTACCAGAATTTTAAGAGATGATAGAGGCCGCTGGTTCAAAGTGAATAAATGTCTCGTAGTGTCACGTACAATATGCACATTATTATCATGGATCTACACTCTACAGCAGTGTTTCCCAAACTTTTTTCTGCCAGCGCCCCCTAGGACGAATTTTAAACTAGCAAACGCCCCACTGACAAAATAAAGTCAAAGCAACTTTATTCTCCATTTATCATTAGTATAATGTGAAGGTTGAGCCTAGTGAAATACCACCAGCTTGATAATATCTGGCTTCATTTCAGTCAAAAACAGTCTCGAGTCTTGTCTGACACTGTCGAAAGAATCTTTCTTTAGATGTAAAAGTGCGGTCACTGCACTAAATACACGCTCTACCAAGAATAAGCTGACAAGAGCAATAAAAAAATTTTTGTCCCAATCTTACACGTGAAGATATTCGAATTTGATTCTGTTGCCAAAAGGATAGAATTCTGAACATGGGTTTGAAAGTATAAACCCAATGGTAGTGGTGCATTTTCGCTTCTGGAAATTCAGGGTTATCTATAACATGGGTTCTAAAACTTTTGGTGTTGCGGAGCCCTCGAAAATGTTGACTGTTATTCACGGAGCCCCAAAATAAATGGTAAAATTGTTACTTTCAGATTAATATTCCTGAGAAAGTTAAAAGTACTTTACTTAATTTAAATGCTGAACTTTTTTTAATAGGGATAATACAAGTCATAAATAAATTTAAATTTCAAACATAAGTTATATATATTAAAGCTGTAAATTTGACACTTGACAAACATATTAATAAATAAATTAGGGGTCGAATCTTTTCGCTTTTGACATTTTTAGAAGACTTAAAAGGCCGCTAATAACGTGCGCGATTGCATTATGTTACAATCGCCGATTTTTTTTCGTCAGCATGGCTTGTTTTCGAACCTTTGAATATCTTTACGCTGGTGTTTAATCTCCCTAAATCGAAAATTTTCCCTGGCATATACATGTATTTGTTACACGATGATGACGTCAATTGCTTTTTTGTTCTCGTGGGGAATTATGAGTTCAATGTGAAAAACATGTTACCATATTATATAGTCATCGGCGACGAAATGCTAAAAATAATAATTAATAAAGAGGTAAATCCGCAACTCAAATTTCTTGATTGAAAAGCGGCATTCTAAAATGTTAAAACTAAAACTTAAAATGGAAGATCACACGTTTGATTTGAAAACGCTTCTATAGACATTGTAAATCGCAAAATTTGGTGTTATGTTAGGTTTTCATCATAGTAACTGCGAAATCGAAACACAATCATTTGTGCGCGCGATCCGTGATGTACCTTTTTTTTATTCTGAAACTACCGACGGAGCCGAATGCAATAAAATAAATTTCAATTGTTCGTATTTTGCCCAGACATTGTGATTTTTTTGACGGCGATATTTTGCTTAAAAATAATCTCAAGTGCGAAAGAACCAATCAAGTTTGACAAATCCTAAGATCGCAAAAATTCGACTTCAATTTATTTGCAGTTGGCAGTTTATCACATATTTTATGTTATTTTAGAATAGTATTCTTTCATTTTAGTAATCCTAATAGTAATCTCGAATCAAACGTGAGTAACGATGAGCACAATTACATTATAACGACGAGACACGTTAAATGATCGCATCGGTCATGGATTGAATATTTTACGCAACAGAAATCTCGTTATACGTTTTTTTAATCGCGAAGAATGTTGCGCGGTAATTTCCGATTCCAATTTTGAACCCCCTCCCTCCTGGCTGCGCTCCTGCTTATAAATAATGTCATTTTTTAATTCCGCCTCCTTGTCATATTTCGAGACTATTTTGTTGTCAGATTTTATCAAAGCTGTTATTGCTTCTTTGAACAGTTACAAACTTAGTAAGTATTTTGAAAAGTAATCTAATATCTCGCGGGGCCCCTGAGTTTCTCTCGTGGAGCCCTGGGGCTCCGTACGGAGCACTTTGAGAACCTATGATCTTCAAAACGGAAACCAAAAATTACGCAACTATCTCCGAAAAAATTATTCAATGTTATTTGCGCTTGAACTTCTGTTTGCGTTTGATTACACTGAGAGGGTCCGCAAAATTTTCAACCACTCACTAAGTTTTCTGCTGAAGCGCACCTTCTGCTGTCAGAACATGGAGATGAAAGAGTACAAAGGACGAATACAGAACATTACGTGGTTGTGCCGGGCAAAATCTGGACATGCCTTTAGGGATTGATAGAGGTGACCAGCAGTGGTTCCAGCATGACGAGGTGACCCCCATACATCAAATCAGACGCTTGCTTTCCTGAGAGAAAAGTCAGCTATGACATCCAGTGGGCACCTTAATTATAGGACTGAAGCCTCTCAGATTTTGGTATGTAGGGTGTTCGAAGGACAATTTGTATCAGGACAATCCTCAAACGATTGGTGAACTCAACGCTGCAATTGCAGAATCAAAATAGAGAAATACCCAAAGAAAAGTGATTGACAATGTTGCAAAAAAGAATACAATTTTTGTGCAAAACGTCCTAAATTTTCCGACACGTTTGGGTACAAATATACACAGACAGAAGTTCAAGTGTAGACAAAATTAAATAATTCACTTCATTTTCGTAAAAGTAATTGAGAAATAGATGGTCCCGTTTTTTGGGGACCTCTCTGTATAATACTGTTTTTAATATAAATCAGTTAAATAAGCTGCTTCAGTCAGTGTGTTCGATAGATAGTTTGACGCGACACAAATGATAAACCGACATTAAACAATGTCAAACACAACATGATATAACAACAGGCGAGATTTTTGCCGTTTTCCAATTCATGTATTACTTATGTAGCCTTGTTATTCAATGACCCAAGAAAGAAAAATGAACCAGTCAAGTTGAACATGAAGATGGTTCTATCTGGCGTACGCCAGTTAAAGCAGATGCCCAGCTCTCACGTGTTGCTCTTAACAAAACCAAAATTATAACATAAGGGTGTTGTACCTACACTACCGCATCAAAGCACCAATAAACCCGATAGTAAAATGAAGCTGTTATTCAATACAATACAACGAAACGTGAAGGGCCTGGTGAAGGAAGCATATGCCGTATGCGCTAGACTAGTATCATTGTGAAACAACAATACGGATTTAAAAAAGTCATAATACCTATTCTACGGTAAGCGAGAAATTTCCAACTCCGAAATCACAAGCAAACTAGTTTGAACCAAAACATAGGAGTAAATGACATAAAATATCACACTTCTTGTGAATTCCCGTATTGATGTCAGCGCCGCCCAATCGCCCAATTTGACGGTCAGCGCCCCCCAATTGCCCAAATCGCCATCAGCGCCCCCCAAGATATCGCAAACGCCCACAAGGGGGCGTTTTCGCCAATTTTGGGAACCGCTGCTCTACAGTGTTACATTGAGTAACTTGAGTGGCACATATATGGGTCCTTCAGTTACTGCACTAGAAAATATTGAGGGCTCCTGCTGTACCAACGCAACAATGTACAACACAATGAAACGTTAATGCGTGGTGGACTTTCCGTCCCGTAGTGTCACGCTATATTTTATATCCAACAAGGAAGTCTTGTGTGTAACTTTCGTGAAGTTTTGCTCAAGCCCCCCATAAAGCAACTGATTGGACAATGATACAAAACATGTAGCTGTCAATGTAAGGATAAATTGCATCTGACAACGTGCAAAATTTCTTGAATTGTCCGGTAGAGTCACTTAGAATAGCTCTTATATACAAAGGATTAGTTACGTGAGATAAGTAGCAGAATTCCCCCATTTTTGAGGGTGTTTTCAAATTTAGGGTGTGATATTTAGTAGATATTTTGTTATTAGTGATATAACTACTTGTCATTTATAAAAAAAAATGTTATGTATCTGACTGATCATATGCACTGGTGTATACGCCACTTTTTGAATATTCAAATACAATTTCATTTACGAAGTGTCACACCTCAATTAGGAGAGTGATTGAAATTTTATGGGGTTAGAGGCGACTGGGCAGGGAAATCACCGCATGGCCCATCCATACTCGACGCTGCTTGCTTCAGATAAATTAAAAACAACGAATTCCAAATTCACAGTAAAATTAAAAATAAGAAGTCAGTCTCCTTCTACATATGCACCATGGCCAACTTAGAATAGAGTAGAAGTCATATGCCCATAATTTTGGGCGGTCCAGAAGTGTGTGTACCAATACGGAGGTAACTAATTTTGTTCGCCTACTTTACATCAAGTTGTGTGAATGGACTGAAACCTATGGGCAGGAGGTATATTCACTTGGCTAACACACAGACAGTCTCCGAACTCGAAATATAACTAAAAGAAGGAGAATCGGAATAAAATTATGGCCTAACCCAAACCTGGTAAACACACTACGGGAGTACCTAATTATGTGTCAATCCCTGGGTTCTGTTTTGCCTACAAAACTACCTTCTCTATACGTGGATAGTCCATTTGCGGTGTCCGTGCTATAAAATAGTAAATACTCAATTCACAAATGTATTAGTTCAACCAGAATATGAAGAAACAGACTATATGGTTTGCATACTTGAGAGAAAATAATTAGTGCAACAGAGGATAATGTGGGTAATAAAACTAAGTTTTTAAACAATACCTACTTGAGCATGAGTAGCATACATTTTACACAAAATATAACAATATGTACTGGAAAGCTGTTACCACAAACATAGATGTATTAGAATATGATCAATGTTTTAAGAATTGAGATTACAAGCTAAAAGCTATCAGACATTCCAGGCTTGACTTGAGGAAACTTCAAATGAAATGTGTACTAAATAATACAATTGTACTATAAAAATAGACATTATATTGCAAAAATAAAACACACTGTAACAAATGTGCTCATGTGTGTGAAAAAACCAAGCATGATGAACACAATCAAACACATTTCTCAAATTACGTGAAGCCGAGCATTTTTGTCACTTTCCTTTTCACGAGTCCTACAAGGCATGATCCACAAGAAGGCGTTTTTTGTTCCACACAATGTCTTCAAGGAGGAGAACCTTGGGAAGATGCTGTACAGAATAATAATACTTCACAGATTTGAAAATAAATATAATTTTGATGTAATCATTCACAATAAATGAAATTTACAGAAAGAAAAATATCGATGTGATGTTATAATCTTATTCAAAATATGGACTTTCTATCTTAAACTGATGTAAATATCAATACTTCATAGATTTATTTGGATGACATTTTTTCAAAAACATATCACTCTCACCTTCCATATTTTAGAACTCTAGATATCGCTGCCTTAGGATCTTCTAATGCTTCTATGGTTGAAAGACCCTAGTGAGAATAAATATTAATTCGTGCATGAAGGTAAATTATAACAACTTACATCAAGATTGTTTGCAATTTATCAACTCTCTAAAAATTAGGAATGATATTGTATTTCGAAATTGCTCGTGATTTCTCTTTGTCTACGTCCTATTTTTTATCCGAAAGCAGCTATTGCTAGTTGCTACATGGACAAGATAGCATTGGATTGATGAATAAACTTGCCATTTCGCGGAAAGAGATTAAGGGGCACACCCCATCCTAAACATGAGACTTAGGATATTCTATCTATTTGAGACTGGAGAAAATTTTCAAATTTCTAGTGATCAGGATTTGGCTGCCAAGTTCACAATTTACATAGGTAAGGTATTGACACAGTCAAGGCGTTTTATATTAAAACAACCTATATCATACAAAAGGTTGTGTTCCGACATAAAAACTTGAATATCTTCATAAATTGTTAACATAATTAGACTTACTATAGATATGTGTATTCCAGTAAGCATAAGCAGCAATGTGATTCCCACAAATGCAAGAATAGCAATACCATATGATATTGCTTTGACAGGGTTTTCCAACGGGTGTATCCAAGTGATCTGAACCAAGAAAGCATTCAAAACTGTACTGCGAACATCATATCACACTTGAATTATAATCTCAATTAATATTATTGTTTTTGTAAGCACTTAAGTGAGAATATGTCATTTTTTTTCAATATGTATGTATTCACGTCTTTTGCTCCAGATAAGGCACTATACAAACAGCAACTTTATTATATGGCTGCTACTTTTTAGTTAAATCTTTTCGATTCGGCATAGCCTATCTAATTTATTATCGTAGGTAGCGCATTGCTAGTTCCTTATAATGAATGCGTCAAAAGGCTATGAAAACTGAACAATTTTACCAAAAGTTCAACTTACCATATGTCCTGCATATCCTACTGTTAGTAAAATTAGTATCAAAATTTTAATATTCATACATACTTGTGTACATGATTCGCAATCCCCAAACCAACTCCACTTGTGAAAATGATAAAGCGCAATATTCAGGTTGACAAATAGAAATGCATAGAAGAGCAGCAAATAAAAAATCCAGTAGTTGTTTTTCCCAACACAGTTGTTGATCCTACAAATGAACATGGAACGGTAAATTAGAATGGACTTTCAGCTGTAGAATAGAATGAAAGAAACTTTTATACGAATACAGTGCATTGGAAGTCTCATGACGTTCCTCCAGAGATAATGCTTTATATTACTCCCTTTGAAATACTAAAATACCACGTCACCCAATGAAAGAATAAACGATTTGTTATATTTATATCTTCAATGCAAATGAGACACAAGACAAGTTACTACTAATATATATGGAGCTGCATTGCTCGGAGGAACAAGTTTTTTTCTAGTTCAGCAGCCTCTACCTCATTACTTATTATAATTAATTAGTGATGGGACACAAGGTGTCACTATGGAGTAAGAGTGCTGTTTTGGGGGATCCCCTAACTTTCAATCGATAAGGGTTCGGTCTCTGACCGATATTCTCGTTTGTTATTTAGTGTTCTACAAATAACAAGAGTAATTCAAGCATTCAGAATCCCTATTCTTTGTAAAAGAAGTTCATATTTAAAATATGTTACTTATATTTGATTTCACATTCTAAATCATATTTGACAAGAGTGATAATGCTGAATTTTATAAATCATGAATATGGCCACTTTATTAGGGTTAATTAAAGTCAGCTATATTACCATTGACAATGATGATCCATATTCAACACACAATAATTACACTTGCTACAGTGATGACTTCTTGGAGGTCGAGCCATGCAACATCGCACACATTTTTCCCATGTTCGCCAATCAATCTGATAACATAAATAAATAGTAAAAATATGGATGATGAATGAAGACCAATAGCATATATACAATCCAATGCGATAGAATTCAGGTCAATTGAGAATGTTCAGCATATTAGGATGAACGTACTACCTCCTTCCTTTGGTATCTAACAAAAATACTTCTTCATTAAGATAACATATGGACTTGAAATATACTAAAAACCAACAAAACCGAAACGAACATATTACAAAATATATTTCTCCACTCATTGGCTCGCTAAACATCATAGTGCACTGTTTAAGGGATACTAGCATGAAACTAGTACCTGAAAAAAACAATTGAATTTTTGAAGTAAGCAAAAAATTACAGCAAAATCCTACCTTTGTATCTTCAACCTTTTCTACCTTTCCAGGGTCTGAAAACATGGAACGGAAAAATGCAACAATGGTTGCGATGCTGAGAAAAAGATATCCTGAAAATATGAAATATAATGTATCGCCACATTCTCATAGTGTTATAAAATATATTTCTGATGTTAAAATAATTTGCATAAGCTAAACACTTGTTCTTTGCGCCAGGAATTAAATTTTAAATATAAAAGGAATTAATTTTGAAAGTTTACCTGAAATTGTAATGCTAGAAATATTTCCATCTTTATAATGAGGTACGAGAATTGGTAGAAAAACTATGAGATGACCATACATCCATATAAATAATACAACAGATGAAGATATCAGTCCTTTGCGATCCCATAATATTTTAGCACCAAAAGGTAACTGTACAAAGTCAGCCATATCAAGTTACAGTAAAAATTAAAACTACATCTTGAAATTCAAAAACAAAAATATCCTAGTTAATAACATTGTTATATAAATCAATGCGCAATATTATAAATATCAATGTCGATATCATTATAAATGTCAAATCGACAATTTGTATTTAAAATCACTTAAACTATAAATTACGAATAAGTTCAGAGATCTAGCATCACAAATGTTTCTCGTAGGACTCAATATGGAAGAATAGAATCTCTTTTATATTACCCGGAAAAATGCAAATTATTTATCTGTAACTGTAATCTGTGTAACAGTTTTAGGGAACCAGAGTCGAAGTGACTCAGATCATTTGAACAGAAAGATTTTTCCAACCACCAGAGAGATTTGACTTGGGACTAAAGATAATTTCGGTCAAAATTTTGAAAATGAAACAAAATTTTGGTAAAATATGATTTACCACATACTGAATTGGAAAACTAAAAATTTACAGCTTGTAGAAATAGGCTAACTCATATTAGGATGGGTTGATGGAGAGGTAAATACTGCAATACATTATGAAATCCAACACTGATTAAATTATCAAAACAACTCTGGTTAAACACAAGACAAAACTTTTGGTGGTAATGTGAAATGCACGACGACTTGGACTGGGCTCACAAATCGAATATCAGAGATTTAGCTTGACTTGCAAATGAGTATTAGGCGCTTAGACCCAAAACTGGGGTTTAAAATGTATACAAGATATCTAACTGATTTGTTTAATCACAGTGATAAAATATATTGTGAAAGACTGGACCTTATTCAGAGATAAAAACGATCTGATATCAATATTTAGAATGATATTTTTGTCTCACAAGATGAGGATTATATTGGGAATTATATCGCCCTCGTTCAATGTTATAATTATTAGATGAATTGGATTCTCCATTATTTAAAAGTGCTATAGTCCTTTCTCTTTCCTTTTTCTCTCGCTTAAGTCTTTCTTCTCTTAATTTCGCTAATTTATCATTAGATGAACCCGATCGGCGTGGGACAGATTCCTTTTTAAAATGTTGATGTTTGTGTTTTCTCTTATGTTTCTTTTTCGTTTTTTCTTTTCTCGATTCCACAAGTTTTTTCTTCTGTAGATGATTTTGCATTGCTTGGATTGGATCCAAAGAATTTTTTCTTTTCAAATCTGCTTCTTGATGATCCTCGATAGACGAATCCCCTTTTTTACCATCTGAATATCGCTTTGGTGTTTTAAAATACCATGGCTTGTCAGAGTCCTCCATTGTTTCCGCTGCACTCTGGCCCAAGTAAGTCAAGAGACCAATCTTCTTTTCATAATTCACTTGTTCTTCTTTTTTCTCTTTTTCATGTTCCACATTTTTTATTGATGAAGTTGCACCCCGTTCAAGTGTTGAATCCGTAAAGAAATTTGTAGGTACAAGACTTTTCTTAGATGAGCCTTCTATTTGTTTAAAATCAGCCCCGCTTTCAATTGCTCTTTGACGAGCTTTATCTCGTAGATGTTTTGTTCTTGCTTCTCGCTCAGCCAAAGCAGCGCGACGATTTTGCTCTTTTTCCTCAAGCCTTGCATTCTCTTCATCTCGTCTTACTTTGGCAACGTTATCCTTATTACGAACATGCCAACTCTTCTTTGGCAGAATATTCATTTAGAAAATCCAACGAAAACCAACTTTAATGTGATAAATACTGTTCAATAACATTCATTCATACTGCTGATTTAAAAATGTTCCAAAACAGTATACTGATTGAAGATTAAAGAAAAAAAAATTGTATTATGATTGGGCTTTAGTAAGGATTTGACAGACCTAGGTTGTAAGTAACATATAAAAACAGCTTAGTAATTGGGAAAAAATGGTTCCCCTTCTTGAACTTGACACACCACAAATTAAAAGATATAAAAATACAAATATAAAAAAAACAAAGTTGTTTTATTAAAATCAACACAGTTCTCTCGTCTGTGATTGCATCATTGTCGGGAAGTCCAAGCTTTCGAAAACAAATAACTGGCTAACTAATCCCATACCCGACTTGGACTGGTAACCGGACGAGAGGCCGTGGTTCGCCATATGATTAAGCCGTCTTATCGGCTTTCCTCTCCCCCAGGATAAATATGTAAAACCAAATCCAAAATTGCAGTAAATAAACGATAGGTACCGGTACCATACGGTAGACTGTCATTCTCATCATACTGCCCTACGGCGATGAAGAATTTAGCAATCAGGTCTAGTATAGTTTAGTACCACAGGTACTTCCAGTGGGCGTAGCATAACGAATTTTGCATATGTTATTCCTAACCCCCACCTGACTATGCCATCCAAAAATTACGTCACTACGACGTCGCCATTACGTCATAGGTCTTGCCAAAGTATAATTACGAACGCCTGAAATGACATCTGCGCCGCCGATAACGAACTCGCTAAAGCCAGCGATCTCTCTCCTATCGTGATCGTTGTGACGAGAAAACAAGAGAGATAGCTTGCTCGATTTCGGATGCTCGTCTGCACGTTTTGGACGACCATTCGCATACTTTGGTGGGCATTATTACGCCACTGTGACGTCGAAATGACGTATTTTTTGGGTGACGTAGTCAGGTGAGGGTTAGGATTGACATATGCAAAAATTGTTGAGCTAGGCCAACTAGAAGTGCATGTGGTACTAAACTATACCAGACCCCAGCAATCTTCTCGGTCTTCTCAGGCGCGGCGGTGTGGCTCAACGGGCTAAGCGTTAGGAATACGCTCGCCACCGCACCTCTAATTACTCTGCGTGGGTTCGCAGGTTCGAATCCCATGCAGGGATGGTTATGTGCGAGAGGATTGCTGGACTCCTCGCCGTCGTTGGGTGGTTCACGTAACCGCTGGTCGGTTACGGCTTCCTCCACCACCAAGTCCATGCTTCCGAAAACAAACAATACAGTAAAACTAATCCCATACCGGTACCCTACTTGAAATGGTAACCGGACGAGAGGCCGTGGTTCGCCATATGGATAAGCCGTCTTATCGGCTTTCCTTTCCCCCTGGATAAATATGTAAATCCTATCCTATCCTTGCAGAAAACGCGCCCTGTCTAGTCTAACAAAAACAAAATGACGATGAAAAGTTAACACAGGTGAATGTGAAACCGAAACTCAAACTTTAAACGAGCAAACATTCGACCCTACTTTCTCTACGGCGCCCTCTCGTGTGCTATGTTGATCCTAAGTCTTATGCGACGTTTTGTCCGGAACATCGAATTTCTTGTTTACTTCCGTGACATTGGTAATACCGAAACGGTGTTGTAGCAATTTTGGAGAGTTGCCCAAAACCTTCATCATGCATACCAGACAACTTACTAATCAAACAGTCAATAACAGAAAGAGAGCGAGAGAGAGTTTATTTGTTTTGTCCACTAGAAAACATATACACAACAAAAACATAATTAATGAAATGCAAAACAGTTTTCGGTACAGACTGGGTGGCAACGATACGACCAACAAGCGGTCATAGGAGTCAGTTACCACCCAACAAATACTTAATAAGGTACTTAATAATTTAGTTAGGGATTCTTACTGACCGCGATAGAAGAAAATAAAGTGGAACCATGCTCCGTACAATCGTAAATATATACTACTACTAGATGACCAACTCCGCTCGCCGTATAATAAACAAACAAAGGCGATGTTGCACCTCCAAGTGGCGGGCGTCACGGTTGGTTTTGTTCAGACCAGATGCTTAACGACGCTCCTGCATCAAAGCTCGAAAACTAGCCCTGTTCATTGATGACTGATCGAAATATTTGCTGAAGGACGAAGAAATTCGATAAAAATGAACAAATAATTTTGAAAACGAAGACACAGTCTGTCTTGCAAATGACCAGGATGCTGTGACAACTTCCTTGTCGAAAGAAAGCAAGGCATCAAAAATGCGATGCATCGAAAAAAATGTCAGTCAGATCAATGACATTAAACAACATGATGCGCAACTCCGGCATTTTTGGCCGAAGATCGTATTCGATAGCACGCTCCAATGCACATACTTGACGAGACGAAAACGAGCGGATGTGTGTTGCTTTCAAGGCATAGCACGAATGGTGTTCGAGCCTGCTTCGACAGTTGTTGTGGTTTTTATTGATATTTGGAAAATTGAAAGTAGAAAGAAATCGGAAAAAGGTAAGGTAAATACTATTGTTGTATATCACACCCGGGCATCGCACTGTTAAGTACATGCGGGAAAGCCAGCTTTTGTCAAATACTACGAAGTTTATAATTCAGTACGGTACGTAGTTGGCCATCTGCCGAAATTGCATATTTACTTACCCCTTATGGTTTCAAATAGTTCATGCACCTTCAGTTAGATTTTTTTAATCAGTGAGGATATATAGTTATTGCTGTAACATACTATTGCTCATTCACTTTTATTTGCTTATTGAATCAAAGGGTTAACAAGTTCACCTAAAATTTCACTCATACCGGTCTATATTGTATAGTCTGATCTCTCAAGTATTTGGAGCCACGAATGCTCATAATTTTCTGACCAAACCCCTTTATTAGTTGGTTTATATACCAAATTCAGTAAAACATTTTTTACAAAAAACATAAGATATTGGATTTATTAGCTTTTCCATTCTGAATCATATAGACTGCTTTATTTATTCTTAACGAAAGTTAATACATCTCCTCTCCTACAGATGCGAAAGTTGTGGACAGACCTGTCTAAGCATTGTGAGACTCCTGCAGCACAAGAGGCAATAGCAATAATAGTAAGTATATCAATCAAGAAATTAGGCCGACATAAAACAAAACTTTCAACTATTCGTCTAACCTGAATTTCCTATTATTTATTCACAGGACAACTGTAGCAGAAGGGGAGATATCAGAAGTCTGGTGACATATCAGTGACAGTTTGATTCCAAGAAATATGATTAGAATACTCCATAAATGTTTGCAATAGAAAAACAACCTATAGAGGAATGCAAAGACATTTGACCCTCCGGTAAAGTTGTGTATGTCCCTTACATCCTGCAGGGCTTGAGGGAAATAACTAAAAATTCTAAAGCGTAAGATTGCATAAGCGGTCTTTTTTGTAAAAAGGCACAAAACATGCCAGACATACTTAAAACAGCTTTGAAAAATGAGGATTACGGGTCACTGACTACACCTGTGGTATATTTGGTTCATTAAATTTTGGTAGTACTATAGAAGAAATTCAGGAAAGGGTATAATCATGATTCATGATAAAATAATGTTATATATTTGGGACAACTTCAATCTAGACCAGGGATGTCAAACTTGCGGCCCCAGAAAACTTCCAGTGCGGCCCTCGAACGCTTAACAATAATTGTAATAGTATTTTTGAATTTTTTTTTATTTAAATGTAAAAGATTTTTCAAACCTTTTAAAGTGAAATTGAATAATCACACAGAAAACAATTTACTAAAAGTAGTTTTAGAAAGTTAATTTTTTTTTGTTCACATTTTGACTCAATTAAGAATACACATCAAGCTAGCAAAAGAATACTGAATAAAACACTTAAGTGATTAAATTAAAGTACATGAAGAAGGTGGCATTTTCGAAGAAAATGGGAGTTGCAATATTTCTGCATTTCACAAAATTCTGAAGCACATTGTTAAATTTGTCATATTTCCATCAGTACAATGAAAAAACACAATAAGCTCAGCAGTCAATATGACAAATTCGAAGACCAACTCCGAACAGAAAATTACCATGTGTTTGTATATTAATATAAATATACAACGACTTAGTTACTAAAAATCAATATCAATAATAATTCAAGCAATCCTACGCCATGCAATGTAGCCCGAAATGTCTTGTCGAAAAAATCTGCCATTTGTTTTTTTTACTGATCTATACATGAAATGATAAAAGTAACTTTTTTGCATTACTGAAATTAATTAAACTTTTGCAAAGATACAGAATAACCCATGATCATGTGACCTCGTTAGTTAGAGTTGGTACTATAAAATCATTTCAGCCTGGCCTTAGTATGCTGGTGACACAAAGAAGATGCCAAACGTCAGGACAAATGTAATTAAAAAAAACATTGAGTTTATACTGTAGTATTTTTGTTAATTTTAGGTTCATAGATTAAGTCATTTTTTAGTGTATTTATCATTCTTTCCTTAATCAACGCTTGTTCAAAAATGATTTTGATGGTTGTGCATGGAATTTTTTGTAATAAATACAGTAACTTGCAATAATAGTGGAATGCAAATATTAATATGTAATTGCATTTGAAATTGAAGAAAATAATAATACTTAATCCAACTGATTAGTTGCATCACAATATATGTCACAAACTAAAACTATCTGAAAAATATCTTTCAAGTATACATTATCAAAAACTGTTTGCGGCCCTTTTTACAATTTCTAACATGCAATGCGGCTCTCGAAACCCATGAGTTTGACACCACTGATCTATTCTAGACGATTCAAGCATTGCTTTGGGAAATAATATCACTTCAATTAAATTGAAAAAAAATCTCGCTATATTAAATACAAAACCATTGCTATCATAAAGGTAAACCAATTCAGCCATTCGGAATATATTGGCCTTCACAAAGCAATGGAGGCAGAATTGAGAGTTCATGAGCTATGAACTTTTGTTCTTTTCTTTGTCTTGAACTTTTCATACTTCACAGCCTCTATTAATTTTTTTTTAATTTTAATTACCACGTGATGGTCATACATACTGTATCTTTGTATTTTCTGTCATGATGTATTATCTCAATGTGTCAAACTTTTAATTAGTGTGTATATTTTGCTTCCAGATGAAATAAATGTATTGTCTTGCTTATTACCTCAGCTTGGAGTATTGGCAAGAAAAAAGTGCCCGTAGATTACGTAACAAAATGTTTAACTCTTTGTTATAATCAGAATTCACATTTAATAGGAATTATAAACAGCCAACAATCAATGAGAATTATATGCCAAATCCTTCAAAAAAAAATTGGTCTTCTAAAGTCGGAGGAAGGCAAAACATATAGGTAGTTTCCATTCACACAAGTTTTTCAAGAAGACTTGCTCGAGACAAACTAAGTGAGCATCGTCAGGTGATCGGTAAGGCTGCAAGTTGAATCAGCCCTGCAATCTCCTGCATAGAAGATAATATTAATTACCGGGCTAAGAGATAAATTTCTAAATTTAGACACAAACCTATCTACGAGGCATTATGTACCAGCAATGTTACCTACGATTAACTGAATATGTAATATGTCTAATAAATTCACCTACTAAAGCAAGTTCGATAGTTTCAAACTTTCTGTTATGGAATTGTATCACATCACCTTTAAGAGAAGTAAAAACAGTTTTGCTGTTTTGTATGACACCCTCTTTAAAAGAAATTTTAATGTTTAAGCGCAAACATTAAAATTACTAACTTTGAACTTTGTCATTATCTGCAAAATGTTTCACACAAATCTTTACGCTGTCGCGTTTGTAATATTCTCTGATAAAAAAAACGTCTATGATGTTCAGAATTACTCTATACAGCTTGTCTGCCATTCTTGCTTTCCAAATGAGCAAAACTTCTCAGATATAGAGATTATTTTCTTTCGTTACAGGCGCAAAAAGGCGGGTACTACACGTAAAGAAGACGCCGAGTAGCAAAAGCAAGCGGAAAACCGTCGCGAAAGGCGACGAGAAATATGTGCATTAGAGCGTATCATGAAATACAATCTTTCGCATGTAGTCTTATGGAGTGACGTCAGAGTTGCCTATCATGTTGTTTAATGTCATTGGTCAGATGTAGGTAAAGTGGTGACGAAAATGAATACTTTGCACTTTATATAAAAAAAAAAACGCTTAGTAGCACAGCATTTTGGTCTCACTCCATCTCAAGTATTGTAGCTTTAACAGAAGTTTTTTCTCCAGTTGACCTATAATCAGGGCTGCCACAACGTCCTTATTTTTAGAATTTGTCCTTATTTTGAAGGTCTTTGTTTTAAGAAATGTTTTTGTCCCCTATTTCTGAGAAACATCTTTATTTTGACGTGTGTCCTTATTTCTAACCTTATAAATGAATATACCAATGAATTAAACTTTGAATTTAGTTTAGATCTGGAACTTCATAAGAGATAAAATGAGTAAACGTGAAAAATTTGCTGTGATAATTATGAGAAAAAATTCAACGGCGTCGAACGAAACGAAGGGCCAGGATTTGCGCACTGCAGCTTTCGGGAATGTGACAACAATCTGGAATGCATAGGTAGAGCAGCAATTTCTGTTAATAATGCAACCCAGAAACACAAGGCTCTGCTCCAGAAATTAATCAAACCAATCTATAAATAACTTTTTTTAAGAGTCAATGATTATACAAAGGCTATCTCAACACATGCAGGCAGCTGAAATTTATTTCCATCATCACATCATCGAACATCCGACACTTGATATAAAAGAAAAATATTTTCAAATCATTCATGAGCGAATACCTATTAAACAATGTAACTGAATGTCAATGTAACAACACTACTTGAGAAAGTATTCGAAAAATTTGAGCAAATGTATACGCAAAGTACTGAAGCCAAAATAATAACAACAAGATGGACAATAGGACTCATGGAATACGAAACCAATTGAAGAAACACAGCAGCTAGAACGAAGATTAAGATGTATGTGATTACAGTCAAGTTTCCGTACTCCTGAAGTATGCGTACCAAGAAAGGAGGACACCGGAACGTAGTATGTGTACCACGTTAGGGTTAGGCCAAAATGTCCTTTTTTTAGTTCTATTACGAGTTCCGGGACTAAACAAGTGAGTTTCGTAGTATTTGTACCCAAAAGTATGGCCTAACATGGTACACATACTATGTTCCGTTGTCCGTAATCTTGGTACACGTATATTTGGAGTACCCAAGTTTTTTTCTCAATAATCCATAGGAATACAAATTATTATTTTAATTACTAATGTAAATAAACACTGAATATCATGTTATATCAATAATGGTATTGATGTTTTTAAGGCTTTGGGAGTGGTTCTTAGCTGGAGTAAAAAGGCAATTTAGGTTCTATCACGTGGACATTGCTACATATTTCTTTTTTTTTGCTGCTTTTCAATCAAATGGAGCACCGATGGATTCCCAGCCCCGCGACCTGCAAAATATGCATCTTTTAAACTGAAAATCTTTTGGCGAAATCTTTCGGTATAGCATTTATTTTGTTAAATCACCTGTTGTAGACTTCCAGTGTGTAAAATAATTTATGAAATTTTAGCTGATCTACTGCAGTCTTTTGTCTCCAGATGTTTCAGAGAGTAGTAGTAGATTTCCGTTTTTGAGGGAAGCCACGTCAGTAGTGCTGTTGCATATGTCAAAAAAGGTATTTTGCAGTTTGCAAAACTTGGCGTTGCTTCAAATTCAGACATCTCCGAAATCCTAGCAACAGATGCAGGAAGAACTTACAAAGAAAAATTTCCCCGGTTCATCTGTTATTAATGACCTGAATACTGTTGGTAATTTTAGAAATAATAATCATGATCCAAGTATTTAAATGCTCAATAGAAGATAGATATAATAGGAAAATACAAATGAATTAATACCCAAAACAATTCTTTGTGCTATACCTGTGCTTAATATTTAACAGACATTTTTATCAGGCTATTGAGTTAAACATGTTGGTCTGTTAGTTTACATGGCTGTTTCAAATGTTTTTTTTAGACAAATCTTCATAAATTCCCTCTAGATGTGTTTCCACGCCAAAACCCCATCTGGTGACAGCAAATCATTCTTCACAAGAGAGTTTCAAGACGTCTGCAAACATTTATATTTTAGTTACGATATTCTGAAATAAATTGCCCACAACGATTGAACCGTGTCTACCATCTAAGCATGTATGTGTTTATATATAAGTATAACAGCCACTTTGACAAAGTATTATTTGAAACAAAAATGTAAATACCCCACAAAACAAATTGGAATTAATAAAATGTAACGGTTCCAGGAGAAATATTAATGCATTCAATAAATGTGGTGGATTTTGCAGTAGCAAAAAAGTTATTGCTATTGATCACAAATCAAAAATTTAAAAAACACTCGACAAAATATTTCAAAACTTTTTGGCACATCTAAAATTAAAAATATATATATATGTTGAAGCCATGTTTAGATAATGGCAATAATAGGTATTCAATTTATTTGAAAAAGGTTATTAGTACCAGCCTGAAATCAAGCAAAATGAATTATCATGGCAAACGCAAAACACCTCTTTATGTTGTAATATGCAGCTGGTGACTTCGTATACAATGACAGGATGAGTCTGGGAAAAAATTATCAAGATCAGTAGAACTCCATCATAAAACACTAATTAATTGAAGTTAAAATATGTGTGTTTAATTTATGTTTTTCATACAGACGTCACAATTTCATCACCCATCAGTCAATTTATATTCTTGCTTACTGCTTTGATCACACAGCATAAATCCTCACACTGCAACTTTTTTATGGTTTTTTATGGTATTATTATATCAAAATTTACATTTCTTGACAAATCATTACTGTATTGGGTACCTATAGGTACATTTACAACTTACTCTTTTTTATGCTGAACAATCGTAGCACAATGCGGCTTTCTACTAGACTACCGTACATCTACTCATGGGAGCTTTAAAGTGAATTTAAAATCTTACTGTCAATGTGCTTTCGAGTGCTGAACCGGTCCTAGGGTCTTTCCACTCAATTGATTGTTCCTCTATTTTGTTTTGTAATCTGCATTCTATCAGTTCTATAGTCAAGTATATCGTGTAATATTCCATGTGCACAACTAACTTGAATATTTATAAGTCACTCACTTAATCTTCACGCAGGACAGCGCCGTCAGAACACAGAAAAACGCAGGAAGTCGCACGATGATTTTCGAAGCAATAATAATCTGTCAACGCCAAGTCAAGCGTGTCGGCGAATTCAACATCGGGAGAAATTTTCGGAGTTACACGGGGTTGGTACAATATATCAGTAATTTATTTTTTCACTATACTGAAAACACACTGGATATACAAAAAATTACAATAAATATGAAAAATGTGTTTTATTAACAATTTAGATTCCCGTCCACTCGAAGTTCAGTGAATATTTATTGAGATTGAAAATTATATGTTATTGCTACCCCCAATATTTTACAACTTTTTTACTAGACTTTCAACCATCCATAGCCATTGCATAAGGAGTGGTACAAAAAGAACTTATTCCATGCCTCGATGCTCATTAGCACAAAAATCGCTCAAAACAGAAGGCATCCTAATTTAGGAGAAAATTCCACCGAATATTAATGAATGCTCACTTGCAACATTCCTTGAACGAATAAAAATTCATCTTCTTAATGGATAGATGAAAAAAGGACCATGTGGTATTTCTCATATATTCAAATTGTATTATTTTTTAATATTGCTTTTTAATTAGCATTAGTGTGGTAAACTGATTTTTGATTTAATGTCCTCGCTCTAATATTTGGGGGGGCAAAAAATCTTGCCCAACCATTAACTAATGTGTTTTTTTATTGTTAATACCGTTTATTGTTCATCTTTTAATAACAGTAATACTTCATATGGTGCAGGGATGGCGAACCATTTTCAATGAATGGGTCAATAATCATATTTTCATCGCGGAACAGAAGAGAGTGGGTCACAGATATTTAATCAATGTTTGTACCTATAAGAAACTTCTGAAACAAATCTTATAAGCTTCTGTTGGTGTAGTTTTGGGCCTTACTTATGCAGCACTTCTATCAGGGATTTTTTATGGCACTCGATTTTATGAAATTAAGAGTACGAAAACACGCGTATGAATTACCAAAAACGTTTAGAATGATGCGGAAAACTATTTCACGGTTCCAAAGAGTTTGGAGGGAATTCCAACCCGATAATGTTATATTTTCTGATCAGCTTTCAACCACATTAAGGCACTTTTACACTGCCCCATTGTTATTTAAGATTGCTAGGTTTTATTTCAAGTCTGAATGATTTTGTTTCCTCAACGGCATTGTAGGCGAGAAACTAATAAAATGCAAAGTAGCATCTAGTTCTTGTATAACCCCTAAAACAGTCTGCAGATGCACTTCCGAAATAGACAAAACGTTGCGAGAAATGAACTGATCAACTGCATTGTTATGTCATAAACGATGTCAAAGCCAATAGCTGAATAACCCGTGGTGGAGACATGCGTCCAAAAATAGGGGGTTTGAAAATTACCATACCGGCCCAAAAATTATCAATTCGGATTTGAGCGATCGCAGCCCTGACTGCCCAACTGACGGTACATTATATTAGTTCAGATATATTGTCAGATTAATTTAAGACCGGTTTTATCACTAATATGTTGGAATTTTTTTTAAATTTTATTCGTGCCTTGGCGGGTCACGAATAAAACACGGTGGGTCCCTTTGTGACCCGCGGGTCAGTGGTTCGCCATCCCTGATATAGTGTCACAGTTGGATAACCGTTTGAGGTTTCCTGTGACTCCTTTCACCCGCGACAACAATGTTTTGTTTCTGCTTTTAAATGTGTCCTTCCATGTTTACATGGCGATAAATAAATATTACTTACTTATCCGGGTCACTAAAATAGTATTAACCATCACATGCGACTCCTCACAGAACTTCGGTTCGTATATTCCTGGGAAAAGTTGAAGTTTGGCTTCAGCGCAATTCAACTCTGGTCTTGAATTATTTTCAAATTGCACTCAGTTTTCTACTTACTACATAGATATAAGTTTGTTACATCATACCTCGCCCTCGATCTCCCCGGTGCGTATTTCTGCACGTTTCGACACCTGCTTTGCGCGTTTCTGCTACTAGATCAGAGAGTTGTTGGCGATATAGGACTGATCGTAGCAGAACAAAGCAACATGTGAAACACAACATGGACTTTTTGCCAAAAGAAAATTCACTGATGCAGGTAGGCAAATCTCTCTTGTCAAAATTTCGGCGCTGTTCTTAGATTCCCACTTCTGCGCAACAGATAGAAATGCTGCTCAATAAGCGCATATGCGTACTCTAATCCTCAACCCCATGACATAATCGAAGCGCAATAAATGTTTTCCTGAGCATCAACTTTTTGTTTACTTCGGCAAAAAGACCCGCTCGAATCTTTCGTAGCGAAAGGACGATTTTAAAGATGTAAATCATTTATGTGCACCATACTGCAAAATTACTTCCAAAACAAACATTAAAAACCTCACATGGTGTGTGTGATGGGGACTACATTATTGCGTACACTGATACCAGAAGCAGTAGCACACCGAGTATAGGCTTATGGATTCAGTCAAGGCACTTCCGGCTGAATCTGAGCAAGTATTACCCCATACAGGACATTCTTAGGGTTCTCAGGTTTAGACAAAGTTTTGTGGAAAAAATCATATTTCGATGAATTTCGGGAATTGAAAAATACCAGAAGTTACCACTATACACCAAGATTGATCTTGAAATAATATTCGGGAATTGAAAAATACCAGAAGTTACCACTATACACCAAGATTGATCTTGAAATATCCACACACATGATCATAAAAAGCTGCTGCTGCAATACCTCAACAAACTCGTACAAAAAAGCAATGCTACACTGTTGTTTTATTATTAAACACAAACGAAACATGAATTTTATTGGTCATACCATACTACAGTACAGTTACTTGAATGAAAGCGGTCTTTGCTGATGCACACAACACAAGGTATTCAGTAATTTACACCAGGGAAAGACAGCATATCCAAACTCCAAATGAAAAATTAAAATGGAAAGAATAACTGACGCAATCATAATTAGATGGACCATAAGTGTGACCATAAATTTACACAGGCATGGCATGGATTTTCTATGAAGATGAATGCATGTAAAATTGTAAAAGAAAACTTTGCAGCTTGTATACCTTGTGGTTTTTCAACACAGAGTTTGTTTTGATATTCCTAAAGCCTACCCAAAACCGGTGTAATTAGGCATGGTAAAAATATTATTAAAGTTTAACAGACTTTTAGTTTAACTAAATCTGGTACGAAAATTTTCCATTGATTGGTACATTTGCTATAAAAACAAATTCAAACATGCGAGTAAGTATTCAGTAAGTTTGCATGTCTCTTGGATAAAATCGAGGAATACAAAATAATTAAGCATTAAATCAAAATAAGACGCTATCAGAACTGCAACGCATGGTACATGTTTCACTCGCTTCATTTCACTTCATATTGACAATGGATACACAGCTGATTGCGTCAGCTTCAAGAATTGCAATGTCGTATTCAAGATTAAAGCGCATTCGCAGACAAAGTCACGAAATAACAGTCTTGCGCAATCGCAGATATCTTCAAGTTCAGAAATTTGACAAACAGTTCGCTAGTAATAAGATCCATATGCAGAAGCACCACCACCATAACTATCAAGCGAACCAAGACCATCGTCAAAAGCAGACAAATCGTCAGCATAGTCTCTGTAAGCGCCAGAACGACTACCCATTCCACTATATCCATCCCCATATTCTCGTTGTTCCATTAGGCGGCGGGCGAGCATAGCACGCTGTCTCAGTAAGCGCATGTAGGATGGACCCCCACGCCTAGCCCCAAATGCGGCATCACGACGCATTCCGCCATCAAGCGGCATCCGATCTACAGGCGGATAATTTCTTGACCTGGATTAATATAGCTCATTATTTTTAACAGCCTTGAGAAAATTTTTGGCGCAAATAAATAACAATTACACAAATGAAAAATGAAAGGAAACAATTTGCACTTCAAGGACCTTAATACTAACCTGGGCATGTCATAACTATCATATCCGTAAGGATTATATCTTCCTCCATGGCCATAACCCTGAGAACCCCAATTACCATCACCACGGCCTCCTCTGCCGCCAGATCTTTCTGAAAAGAGTAAAAAATTCAAATCAGATGGTTGACGTAAAAAAATTTAAAAAATAAATAAATAAAAAACAACACCTCCACCCCCTTTTTGTCTTGCCATTTGAACACGAATTTTATTCCCATTCAGCTCATAGTCATTTAGTTCACTAATTGCTTCACGAGCTTGTGACTCCCTCGACATATGTACAAACGCAAAATTCTTAATAACTTCACATTCAATGACAGTTCCATGTTTTTGAAAGAGCTTGTGCAGCTGAAAGTAGTATAATATTCATTATGACGGCAAACATTATTTATATAGGGCAGGGTGGTCCAAGATTTGCAGCTCCGCTGGCCACAATATTACTTTTGCATTGTTTGCGGGCCAAATAGTGCCAAGAACTTCGCTCGTTAACTTCGCTAGTTGCCTCAACTAGTCAATTCAGTGACATTAGTGATGCAACAATATGTCGAAAGATTTTTTAGTTGAATTCATGATGAAACAACACGAAATGCGATTTTTTGATTCTATTCCGAATGCGACGCGGGCCACAGATAATGAAGCGGCGGGCCTGGACCACCCTGGTATAGAGCCCATACATACATATAAAACAAGATTCCAGGCACTGCATAGGTAAAAAAATATAAAAGAAGCTGAAAAACCCCCTCTCTTGATCACAGTGAGACGAAACTTGGAAGATGGTTCAAAAATATATTACTTCAATCGCGTGCCATGTCCCAGCTTATTATCTCTCCTACTTCTATCATCTTAAAGTGGGTGACTTGAATCCGTTATCGAGTAAATTTTGTGGGAGGTATGTGGCCAGTGTTAGACTGAGTGGCCAAACTCACAACACCTCTTCTTCAATTTTCCACATATTAATTTCGTTATTGCAGTTGATGACTGTAAATTTGTCTCAATCCTGCAATCCCAAAGTGGTAATAAACCACCCCAGTCTGTGGTTCGGAACATTTTTGAAAATTGTGTGTTATGAATTAATAACCCATAATACTAACCTCACTAGACTTGGTACCTTCTGCCAAATTCCCAACAAACAGTTTAGCAGCACTCGCTACTTTTGTTACAGATATTTCCACATTAATTGCTTGTCCTTCAAGATCACTTTTGTCAAGCTCACTAAAAAGGATACTTTTGTTAAGAAAATATACAATCGGTAGGGCACAGTTCCCCAATTCAAAGATGTCCCGACATTTGGCATGACGGCAGATTGAGTCATGCTAGTCTAAATTAATCGTGACCGCCATGTAACCAAAATTGCTTTTTTTTTGCTTAAAACTCTCGAATGCTACTGTAAAAATTTTTTTTTTGGTAAATCGGATTATTTTTTGGTGACGTTTTTGGATTGCGCTTTCTTTTAGCTAGTTTGCCGATATGTAGGCCTTTTACTGTCTCTTAAATAAGGAGTTTGCACTCAATGTTATCTTTATGACTTTCAATGGGGGGATATTCTTGAAATCGGAACTGTGCATGCAACTGCTATACAAAGAAGAGCATTGCTAATTTTTTTTAAGTGATCAAGCAAGTCCTGGAATTATTAGTGAAAATAATTGCTATTGCACGGCACGGCACCTATGTAGACTACATATTTCATATATTTGACCCACCCGATAGCTCTTTCTGCATCTTTCTTGTCAGCCATATGCACAAAAGCAAAATTTTTTAGTACTACGCAATCCAAGACTTCTCCAAACGGGGAGAATAATGATTCCAGTTTTTCTTTTGTAACAGAGTCAACCAGTCGGCCAACAAATATCTTCACCATTTTGAATTTATGCCTTGCTTAGTTTTGGGCGAAATGGAATAAAAATTCAAACCTGTGAAAATAAAAAATTGGAACACAACAACTGTTCATTTTAATACAAACCATAATTCATGTAATTACACATAAAACGTAAAAAGATTGAAGACAATTGCATCATGCGAATCCTCAAATAAAAATTTTTTCAGTTTTGTACTATTCAGTTATTCGATTTGTCGAATTATAGGCTAGCACTCTTTTGGGAATGCCAATGATTCGGTAATAAAAATACCCATGGCTACATAGGCCTACGGTATCCCAGTATCTGCATAGCCCATACCGGTACCGGTACCGTACAGATGCTACGGTATACCGGTACCGGTATCTTATCTAAACTTATTTTCATCTACCGGCTGACCGGAACCGTACTGAAACTTGGAAGTCATTAAGTGTAGAAGGAAACGTTCCTGTTAATCAATTCCTGAATGGTGTGAAGAGCCAAGTAGCTACGGAGCGAATCGAATAATCATAGTTACGATACCGGTACGGGTACTAACGGTTTGGAAATGCAAATCTTTTCAGGGTGCAGAGGCGTGTTGGCATTTTATGAACATACAAAAAACAATTAGCAAGTGAATATTTTACACTATTATTACCGGTATCGTAATAAATATCTGTTCATGTAATAAAATATATAAATAAAAAGGTTCCATTACATTTGAACCCACGTACATTTGAACCCATGACAATTGCACCTGTATGCTATTGCACCTATGGAATTTTTTTTGTTTCACGGATAGTTAAACCCATACCGGTACTAACCCTAACCCATGGGTTTTAGCACCCGCATATAGATTGAACCCGTGGATATACGCATGGGTTCAAATGTACATGGGTTCAAATGTACGGTCACCAAATAAAAATGTTGTCATCTTCTTCGAAACATTGGTTTGGAATAAATTACCCCTTCCCTCTGTCAGACTGCCGCCGCAGGTATATCTTGAGGAACCAAAACTTGCACAACGCGGCTTGGTTGAGACTACAGTACCTTTGCTCACGTGATTCGCACGATTATCATGGCCATGGACCTTTCCCCGACCTTTGACCTTTATTGTTTTGATTTTGGTCGCTCAGACCAATGACATTAAACAACATGATGCGCAACTCCGGCATTTTTGTCCGAAGATCGTATTCGATAGCACGCTCCAATGCACATACTTGACGAGACGAAAACGAGCGGATGTGCGCTGCTTTCAAGGCGTAGCACGAATGGTGTTCGTGCCTGCTTTGACAGTTGTTGTCGATTTTAATGATATTTTTGAAAGTTGGGGTAAAAAGAAATCGGTAAAAGGTAAGGTGAATACTATTGTTGTATATCACACCAATGACATTAAACAACATGATGCGCGACTCCGGCATTTTTTGTCCGAAGATCGTATTCGATAGCACGCTCCAATGCACATACTGACGAGGACGATAACGAGCGGATGTGTGCTGCTTTCAAGGCGTAGCACGAATGGTGTTCGTGCCTGCTTTGACAGTTGTTGTCGATTTTAATGATATTTTTGAAAGTTGGGGTAAAAAGAAATCGGTAAAAGGTAAGGTGAATACTATTGTTGTATATCACACCCGGGCATCGCACTGTTAAGTACATGTGGGAAAGCCAGCCTTTGTCAAATACTACGAAGTTATTAATTCAGTACGGGTACGTAGTTGCCCATTTGCCGAAATTACATATTTACTTACCCCTTATGGTTTCAAATAGTTCATGCACCTCCAGTTAGATTTTTTTAATCCAGTGAGGATATATACTCATTGTTGATTGCTGCTCATTGTAACATACTATTACGCATTCACTTTTATTTGCGTATTGAATCAAAGTGTTAACAAGTTCACCTAACATTTCACTCATACCGGTCTATATTGTATAGTCTGATTTCTCAAGTATTTGGAGCCACGAATGCTTGTAATTTTCTGACTAAACCCTTTTATCAGTTGGTTTATATACCAAATTCAGTAAAATATTCTTTAAATAAAACATGAGATATTGGATTTATTAGCTTTTCCATTCTGAATCATATAGACTGCTTTATTTATTCTTAACGAAATTAATTAATCTCCTCTCTTTCTTCAGATGTGAAAGTTGTGGACAACCTGTCTAAGCATTGTGAGACTCTTGCAGCCACAAGAGGCAATAGCAGAAATAGTAAGTATATTCAATCAAGAAATTAAGCCGACATTAAAAGCAAAACTTTCAACTATTCGTCTAATCTCAATTTCCTATTATTTATTCACAGGACACTATAGCAGACGGGGAGATATCAGAAGTCTGGCGACATATCAGTGACAGTGTGATTCCAAGAAATATAATGCAATTGAAAATAGAAAATTGCAATAGAAAAACAACCTATGAGGCATGCAAAGACATTTTGACCCTCCGGTAGAGTGTGTATGGCCCCACATCCTGCAGGGCTTGAGGAAAATAAAATAAAAATTCCAAAGCGTAAGATTTGCAAAAGCGGTCTTATTTGTAAAAAGGCACAAAACACGCCAGACATTACTTAAAACAGCTTTGGAAATGCAGGATTACGGGTACCTCACTGCACCTGTGTTATATTTGGTTCATCAACTTTTGGTAGTACTATAGAAGAAATTCCGGAAGGGTATAATCATCATTCATGATAAAATACTATCATATATTTTTTGAAACAACTTCAATCTAGACCAGGATCTCAAACTCGCGGCCCCAGAGAACTTCCAGTGCGGCCCTCGAACGCTTAACAATAATTGTAATAGTATTTTGGAAGTTTTTTTTTATCTAAATGTAATAGATTTTCAAACCTTCTAAAGTGAAATTGATTATTCACACAGAAAACAATTTACTGAAAGTAGTTTTGGAATATTAATTTTTTTGTCCACATTTTGACCCAATTAAGAATACACATCAAGCTAGCAAAAGAATACTTGAATAAAACACTGAGTTAATTAAATTAAACGCAAAGTACATGAAGAAGTGGCATTTTCGCAAGAAAATGGGAGTTGTAACATTTCTGCTCTTCACAAAATTCTTGAAGCACATTGTTTAATTTGTCATATTTCCATCAATACAATCAGAAAACACAATAAGCTCAAGCAGTCAATATGACAAATTCGAAGACCAACTTCGAACAGAAAATTTTCATGTTTGTGTATATTAATATAATTATACAACGACTTAGTTACTAAAAATCAATATCAATAATAATTCAAGCAATCCTATGCCACGCAATGTAGTGCGAAATGTCTTGTCGAAAAAATCTGTCATTTGTTTTTTTACTGATCCTATACATGAAATGATAAAAGTAACTTTTTGCATTACTGGAATTAATTAAACATTCGTAAAGATCCAGATAAACCCATGATCATGTGGCCTCGTTAGTTAGAGTTGGTACTATAAAATCATTTCAGACTGGCCTTAGTATGCTGGGTGACACAAAAAAGATGCCAAACGCCAGGACAAATGTAATTATTAAAACATTGAGTTGTTATACTGTAGTATTTTTTGTTAATTTTAGGTTCATATATTTAGATTAAGTTATTTTTAGTGTATGTATTATTCTTTCCTTATTCAAAGCTGTTCAAAAATGATTTTGATGGTTGTACATAGAATTTTACGATTTTTTATAATTAAATACTGTAACTTGCAAATGCTGCAATAATAGTGGAATGCAAATATTAATATGTAATTGCATTTGAAATTGAAGAAAATAATAAAACTTAATCCAACTGTTTAGTTGCATCACAATATATGTCACAAACTAAAAACTATCTTAAAAATATCTTTTGAGTATACATTATCAAAAACTGTTTGCGGCTCTTTTTACAATTTTCAAAATTGCAATGCGGCTCTCGAAAACCCATGAGTTTTGACACCACTGATCTATTTTAGACGATTCAGCATTGCTCTGGGAAATTATATCACTTCAATTAAATTGAAATAATCTCGCTATATTAAATACAAAATCGTTGCTATCATAAAGGTAAACCAATCAGCCACTCGAAATATATTGGCCTTCACAAAGCAATGGAGGCAAAATTGAGAGTTCATGAGCTAATGAACATTTGTTCTTTCTTTGTCTTGAACTTTTCCATACTCCACAGTCCCTATTAATTTTAATTACCATGTGATGGTCATACATATCTTTAACTTGTATTTTCTGTCATGATGTATTATCTCAATGTGCCAAACTATTAATTAGTGTGCATATTTTGCTTCCAGATGACATAAATGTATTGTCATGTTTATTACCTCAGCTTGGGAGTATTGACCAAGAATAACGGTGCCAGTGAATTACGGTAAAAAAAATTTCAAACTCATTGTTATAATCAGAATTCACAATCAATAGGAATTATAAACAGCCAACAATCAGTTGAGAATTATATGCGAAATCCCCTCAGAATAAATTTGTCTAAAATCGGAGGGAGACAAAAAATATAGGTAGTTTCCATCCACACAAGCATTTCAAGGAAGACTTGCTCGAGCCAAACTAAATGAGCATCGTCAGGTGATCGGTAAGGGCTGCAAGTTGAATTCAGCCCTGCAACCTCCTGCATAGAAGATAATATTTATTTAGTGGGCTATGAGCTAAATTCCTAAATTTAAACAAACCTATCTACGATGCATTATGTACCAGCAATGTTACCTTCGATTAACTGAATATGTAATATGTCTAATAAATTCACCTACAAAAGCAAGTTCGATAGGTGCAAACTTTGTGTTATGGAATTGTATCGCAGCACAGTTTTGTATGACCACCCTCTTTAAATGAAATTTCAATGATTAAGGCGCAAACATTAAAATTACTAACTTTGAACTTTGTCATTATCTGCAAAATGTTCCACACAAAATCTTTCCGCTATCGCGTTTTGTAATCTTCTCTGATAAAAAAAAAGTCTATGATGTCCAGAATTGCTCTTTACAGCTTGCCTGTTATTCCAGCTTTCCAAGTAAGCAAAACTTCTTAGATATAGAGATTATTTTGTTTCGTTACAGGCGCAAAAAGGCAGGTACTACACGTAAAAAAGACGCCGAGTAGC